CCATACAGTGATGAATGCTATCGTGATGGACACTTCCAAGTACCAGAAGGAAGGACTTCGCTCACCCAATCGTATTGGCTTATTGACTCTAAACAGGGTGAAGCTGCAACACGATAACTATCGATCAAGGACTAGACAACACCCATCGTCACGGCTGGTCATCTTATTATGCGGACAGTATTGTCTCTGTAATTGACAGAGCGAAGAGCCAGTTGGAGAGATACATCGAATAGCGCTTAACACAAATCATCTTGACACGCGTCGCTGTTAACAGGGCGCAGCTGCAACTTGATTATGTGGATGACTTATCGATGGAAAACAATTAATTGACTTGATAATTAACACAGAACATTGATTAATTTATTGAAATATTGTTTGGCTTAAACATAAACTTACTACAATTCATTGAATTGAGTGAGTATTGATTGATTGAACATTGATTGATTGAACATTGATTGATTGAATATTGAAACATTGATTGATTGAACATTGATTGATTGAATATTGATTGATTGATTGAATATTGATTGATATTATTGAAAATGGATTGATTCATTGGACTGAAACTTTTTGATTGATTCAACTGAATATTCATTAATTGATTGGATATTCATTAATTGAATTGATAAATTTATTGATTGATTGATTGATTGAACTTGATATTGATTGATTCAATTGAATATTGATTGATTGATTGAATATTGTTTTATAAGGCTGGCGCACCGCAAAATTTGGAAAGCAAACGCCAGTCTTATAGTGTAAAAAATGACATGTGTACAGTTAATATTGATTGATTGATTGATTGATTGTTTGATTGTTTGCTTTGATTGGAGGTGTGCCAAAAACCAATTGGGTCGGCACCCACTGAACACATGTATCTTAAATAATTGATCTGCAACCAGCCGTGGCCATATGATGCCAAACTTAATAAATAGATAATTAAGAAATGGTGTCACTTGTTTTTTAGTGGTAGTCTGTGATAAATATTATGTAGCTATATTTTTCCTTAATTGTGCCTAGTTATCCATCAGGTAATCTGGCTATTGCTATAACCTCAGTACAGCTGGGACAATTTAATTATGTGGTACAGGCAGATATAGAGAAGCCCAGCATCCTTGCAGTGTTTGAGCCCAATGGGTTTGCCTGTTGTTACCACCCCAATGGTGTTGTCAGGTATGTTATCAATGACATATTACTCAACTGATTTTAAAACTGATTTTAAAAAATCCTCAAAAAAAGGAGGCTTTTGAGTAGTACTGTACCTGTATCTAAATCACTTATCATAATACTCAGTAGTAGCTTAATTGATTAACATTTGTAAGGTACTGCCATTCTCTGCAATATTATGATTATGTAAAATAAATCATTTCCACTGTAGTAATTATCTTGCACATATGATATACCATCATAAACTGTATGTGTACTTAAAAAATTGGGCTTCATATTTTAGCGGCTTTGGCGCAGACAACGATGCACTAATTCATGAATACTGCTGAGAAATAATTCATAAATACAATATATGGCATGGACATGTATAGCGCTAATTCATGATTTCGCCAACAACTCCATACCCAGTGATTGTGCTAAATTTTGAATATGCCAATTTTTGTACACATACAGTACATGTAGCATGATGGTGTCTTTATAAGATTGATGGAAAGATTTGATGATTCAATGCATGTAATTCTACAATTGTATGAACAATTACATAAGCAAAGAAATAATGGCTGTAGTATGAATTAATCCTCTTTTGTTCAGATTGAATATGGATCAGCTAGGAGGTATAGAACTGGATTACACAGGAGCCAAGAAGAGAAAATGGTTGTGGAAGGATCAGAACACCCACGTCCACGCTCCGCCATTCCAACCCATCCATTTTCTCCTGAACCATTACATCGGGGTCAGGATTCTCGCCCAGGAGAGGATGGTTCTAGACTTTAGTGCAGGGGACAGGGGGAAGAGGTTCAATGTGGGGGCTAGGCTTAAGGTGAGGCTTTTTTACTTTGACTGTTACATACGCTGTGAGGGATTTAGAAAAAGGCACCTTTAATGGTGCTGTTTTAATGTAATGTGCTTACTCATGATAATGTTTAAAATTTGACTTCTTACAAATGTGATAAATAAAATCACTGATTACAGTAGTTCATGATAAGGCTAACTAGTTCCTGTCTTGCAATTGATTTTAAACTGTAAAATACCAATTAAATCAAACGTTTTAAGGACACTAAAATAAGCTCATGTTAAGTACCTACTGTTGTATGAGTCATTTTTTGGGCATTTGATGACCAAATTTTTTTATGCCAATTTAATCTATTTCTAGTTGAATCATGCTGAAAAGATTCCCCCTAAAGAGATAGATGAGAATTACCTGTACTTAGAGGAACAGAAAATCCGAGTAGAGTAAGTTGTACTACGAATTTTTTACAAGCATTTTATATACTGCTGCTCCTTTAAAATCAATACATGCAAACTAGCTCCTTTCAATAATATAACTTGTTGAAGTATGAGAGTATTTGGGGAAAGCTTCTGAGGAAAAGATACACATCAACAACAACATTTAGAATTTTCAGTAACATTAATCCTTTGAATTAATCGAAAATGAATTTAAAATTTCTGTTCTATATGTCATTAAATATGTTATGTTAAACAATTAAATTTTTATATTAATTTCTCTCATTGTAGAAAAATGTTGGATAAGGTGGCCACATTGTTAAAATTCCCCAAATCTCCCAAAATAGACAAAATATTGCCTCCACTTCATGTGACGTCAAAGGCTCTGAAAACGGAACGTCTGAGACAGGAACGGGCCAATCAAATCGCAACGCAGGAGGCCAAGAAAAACAAACAGGCCCCCATCCCCGCCATAAGTTAGAGACTCCATTCATCACCGTTTCCCATATCTGTGTTCAGCTGTGTCAGAAAAGGATTGTATGCTTTTGTCTATATCAAAGAGACTGTGTGTGGTCTGACTTTATATTCTGGTACAAGTGTTTCCTCATAAAAGATATATTTATATTCGTTTGCAGGTTTGAAAGGCAATATATACTAGTATAGTAATATGTATAATTAATTAAGATATTTATACATTAAATAAAGCACACACGCTGCCAAATCTTGCTGCTTTTATTGTATTCCGCAGCAATAAATTACGTTTTTACGTTGGTGTAGTTTACTCGGCTTAATATATTCTGTTCACTGTATTTAGTCTTGCTTGTAGCTCATCTCTGTACTAGTCACACCTGCTGTTTTCCCCCTGTCCGTTACTTGTATATTAGTTACCCTGATATTGTTCACCGTTTTTGTTTACACTTTTGTATATCGATGTAGCTATTTTTATCTGTGATATTTGCATTTATTGATGTTTGTTGTTTGTTACTCTACAGTTGTTCGGAGTATTTTTATGAATGGTTTAAATGGCCATCATTGTTAAACATTGTAAGACACAAATATCACTATTTTTGCTGATTTTAAAGATTAAATCGGGGGATTGGGTATTTCCTCTTTTTGTCCACATTTTAATGAATCGAATAACATGGTAGAAATCTTTGTATGACATATCATTTGTGGAAAATATTTTTGAATGTATACATATACTGCTGATCATATTTAAAACCTAGCTCTAATGGGAGATACTGCTGAAAAAGGTTTAAACATTCAGAGTTTATGAGCTAGTTGTATATTTTTGGACCAGATTTATGAAGTAATCAAATGTTATACAGTATTATATAGCATAGTGTTTCAGCATTTAAAATTTGTGGAATATGAAAAATTATGTATATCATGGAACATTTTATAATACAAATACTTGGTATATTGTAAAAGCAGAGATTTCATTTTCCCACTCTGCAGGGTTTATCTTAAAATTGTGAATGTTCTTTGCATATCAAGCATTATATAAACAGTTATTTAAATACTGAAGAAAATGTTGTCATGTTTCTGCAATTAAAGGACTATTGAAAACAAGGTTATTTTCTCCCTGTTCATGTGCCTCATTTTAATTCACCAAGTCTCATTTGTGCTGGTAACTATCTCTATTGAATTCACCCACTGACGACAAGGGCAAAAATAAAACGGTGTGAAAATCATCCTGTATATATGAATATAAGCCAATTTTTTTAATACTTGAAAGCAAACAAACTGGGAAAATTTTGCCCTGTGTTATTTCACCCTTGTCACAAGTGTGCAAATTTAAAACTGGGTGAATTCGAAGTAAAAATTATCTCTTAAACACAGTTGTGTCTTGTGAATTTAAAATGAGGCAAAATTGTTTGCAAGTGTAAAAGGGCGAAAATAATCTTGTATATAGTATCATCAATTAAAATCAACACAGTGGTCTTGCTCAATTACATATTGCTCTGATCATTCATAACATTGTACAAATTGTTACTATTGGGATTGGGATATTTATTTTCAGTAGTTAATTTCCTATGATGACTTGGATAATTGAGTGAAAATGTCAACTAATATGAATTTCTGGTATTAGGTAAATAAGCTCAGAAATTAATTATAATCAATACTTGGTAGTGCAGATAATCTTGAACCCCTTCCTGTGGGTTTTGTTATGAAAAAGTTGGAACATCTTTAATATGAAATAGCAAGGTCATCTGACATCAAGCAACAGGAATGGGCTGATATTGGCACATACATTGATGCAATATCAAATGTATAAGGACCTCAAAAGACTTCACCTTTGACCTATGACCTTAAAAGGAAAGTCAATTCACAACCTCATGTAACAAACAAGAATTGTGTGAAGTGAAATCAACAATTCATAGGTTATAGGTCAATCCGACCTGGATTAAAATTATATACACAAATTTTTCTTCTCCAGAAACTTGAAAGAGCATGAATATGAAATGTCTCAATACAACATTTTTATCCAAACCTTGTATATTGCATCTTCAAAATGCATTTTTTCGCACTGACTTTGAAGAGCATGTTTTGTAGTTTTGTTTTCTTTCAAAACTATTAAATTAAAATTGGAAAACGACACTGAAAGATAGGTTAAAATGAAAATTTTTATTTAGAATATTCATGTACACATGCAGGCATAAACATGATGAAAAGATTTTGTAAGGAAAGGTTGTAATGGTTTAAAAATTTTGATTTTCACTATCCCATAATACAAAACATTTAGGTAGCCAACCCTTGTTTTACAAAATGGAATTCAGTATCAGGGATAATATAAAGACATATATCACAATAATGTTTGTGCATTAAAGACATAATTTCAATACATTTTTGCTTACTAAATGAACAACAGAAATACTGAAATCTAAATCATTCATAAAGTGTTCACTTAACATGTGCAAATAGAAATCAACAAAAAAAATTAACAGAGTGCGGTAGTGTGTGTGTAACAGAAAATTTGCGAGTGTGAAATGAATGTTTTATAGTGCATTGTATGACATTACAATCAAACATTTCTGGTCTATTTCATGTCACTTATCAACAAAATACAATAGAAAGTATACAGACAAGAAAATAATGAAATAAATAGCTACAATATTATTCAAATATCACAGTCACAACTTTGTCAGTACAGAGTACATTTAGTAACATCTTTAAGTTTTGTAATTTTAGGAGTCCAGACTATAGTAATGCACTGTAATTAAATCTTTTTCTGATCCAAAACCTGTCAAATCCACTGGTATAAGATACAGTTTTATAAAACGTAAGTCACACATACACATGTATTCTTTGTCTTTAATCACATAGGCCTTTTCAGATTCAGATATATAAAAGTGACATACATGTAACATATGAGACATGCAAGTCCTCTGTCCTATAAATGGGCTAGTAACCAAATTGCACTTCTTCTAAGATATCACAGAAATTCCCCCTGCGGCTGGGTGGAATGACCCTGTTCATCCATTAACCACTGAACACAGGAACTTGGTACACTAATGAGGAATTCCCCATCACCTTTTGACATTGTACTTGCGGAGTGTGGCCTCTGTACCTATTTTTAGCTGTTCTATGTGCGAGTCGATAAGTCTCTCTAGTTCTCTTGCTCTTTGATTTTCTGCTGCTAAAAATCTCTCTGACACAGAATTCCTAGAATTTGAGTCCTGAAAAGTAAGAAGAAAGAACTCACCAAACGGCTGCAATAATATTTAAGAAATCAAACATTCACCTGCCTAAATCAATATTTTCATTTGAAAGCAAGTTAAGACATAGCAACCCTCCTTTAAAATTTGTTGTATTTGACCAGTTTTATCAGAATGTTATAGGATTCATGTTTGCTATATATTCTTACAAATATTTAAGCACGATTTTGAAACCCAATGCCCATTACAAAGTCCAGTTGATATTTGAACTTCAAATCAAGCAAGATCTTCATCTAACACAAAACTTTGTCCTACTGTTTGGCCACAGGCTATCTCACATCTTTAAATGTTCAAAAGTTGTGGTCGGACAGACCATTATATTTCAAAAATCTTTGAACTTTGGGCATACATCCAGGAAGAATTTTCTTTTAAGCTTAAAAATGCCTAAAGGTATTTGAAAAATCCATTCTTTTGATGTATATATCTTCTACCTCTACATTGCCAAAGTCATCATTGAGTGCGTAGTCATTAACACTCTCCGAGATGGACATAGCTTGACTGCTAAGGACGGTCTCAAAACTGTTGTCTGCCTCATGGTGGACCTCTCCATCACCGTTAGCCCGAGTCCCTCCGATCTCGACATCGTAATGGTCAATACCGCTCACAGGCTGACCTGAATGTGGCAAACAGATGCTCTAAATAATCTCTATACACAAAGACTGCCAAAAATTTGTAAATGCTTTACTCTCTGAGCATGAGATGACAACGTTCTTATATGAAGGTCTACTGTAGAATTGTCATTGTTCATGGGGTGGGGGAGTTCAATATTCATGGAATTTGAGGGTCAACTTTACCCATGAATTTACATCAGCGAGCCCCATGATTAATAACTTTGTCAACATATCAGTTCTTTGAATCTTTTGTACATGCAAGTTGCCCATGAAATTACGTCCCCTTGAAGCAATAAATTTTTAATACCCATGAACACCGATCCCCCCACAAATTAAAATGATTCCCAGTATCCTCTTTTACTACCATACTTTTTAATATACTGTGAAATTATCATTGCTTGTGGGGGATCAATGTTTCTTGGATTTCATGGGAAATCCTTACCTACGAATTTACATCCCCACGAAACATTGAAACACACATGCATTGAGCACAGTAGAGCTATCTATCTTGATAAAACCTACAATTTACCCACAAAATTACATCACCACGAACCAGTAAAATTTTTGTTACCCATGAACGTTGACCCCCATGAACAATGATGATTCCACAGTATATTATTTTTAAATGCAGTGACAATTGTGGGTTTAATTTTCTTCTAGTGTTAATCTCAGTACAACATACAAGCAAGAATTCCTAACGTACTGTAGTTACTATTCCTCTCCATGTCTAGCTGTTCCTCCAGGCGAGCTTTCTGACTGCGTAAGTAGCTAATCTCCTCCTCGTATCGCTGTACGGTGGAGTCGAGTCTCTCCTGGACAGCACGTAACTTCCTTTGGGAGTCTTCCTCTAATCTCTGCAGTCTCCTGTCAAAAAAATATTATATCATCAATTAATGTATAAAATTTACAAGTTTATTGCATGTGCTAGAAATTAAAAAAATCCTTTTAGATTCATAGAGGAGTGCATTTAAAATGATGAATCCATTTGAAAAAAATTGGAATGAATTGTCATAAATGGCATAAACATCCCTCTGAACTTAACTGCAAAAGGATCATATGCTCTTGGCTTTATCCCAAATATAGCAGTCTGAGTTTATGAAACACAATGCTTCAGTGAGGTTATCCTACAATAGCATACCGACCTACAGTTTAACCTCTGACCTATAACCTGACATTTGAAAGCTACAATTTGTTGTGTTTGTTTCAGAATCTGCTTGCTTTCTGTTTTCCTCTGATATTTGCTGCAATCGCCAAAAAAAAGATGTGTTTCTATGCTGACCTATCATCCCTTAGACCTGATACTCTGTGCCAACATTTCCGAGTCCCTCAGAGCCAGGCATAACTCACCTATCATCCTTAGACCTGATGCTCTGTGTGGACATTTCCGAGTCCATTAGTGCCAGGTGTAACTCACCTATCATCTTTAGATCTGATACTCTGTGCGGACATTTCCGAGTCCCTTAGAGCCAGGCGTAACTGCTCCTCAAACTTCTCCTCCATCTCGTTCATTTCCTCCCTCAGACAGGCTAAGTCATCCCTCAACTGACGATTTTCTTGCTGCAACAGTCAAACATGTGGGTCAGTAATTATAACGGAGTAAACATGTGCAATTGAGAAATTAAGCATTTTCAAATTACATGTATGTAATTTTTTTTCGCATTTTTAATTCTAGTTACTAGTATTTATGAATCTTGATTATTAATGCCTGCAGTTCTTTGTAGCAATCTACTCAGAATTCATGACATACTGTACAGTGAATGGAAATATGTACTCTGCATAAAAATTTGGTTCATAAAATTTTGAAAAGTGAAACTAAGAGGAACAAAGACACTAAAGGTATGAAAATGAAAGTAGGAAAATAAGTGAGGGGTAAAGGATGAAAAAAATATTAAAGAAATGGAGAATTAATATGTAACAAACCAAACTTAATTAATAAAATATTAAATATAAAATCCCACACATTTTTCATTTAATACACCATGAATCAATTATTAAATAGTTAAATATTTTTTACCTCTGCCCTGAAAATGCCACGATTTTGTACATTGTACAGTAAATGAACACACATTGTTTGTTATATCATACATTGTATCCTCTCCCCCTCAAGTTTACCTCCAATTTCATGATGGTTGTGGTGTACGCATTTTGTACTGCTGTAAGATGATCCTGAACTTTGTCAAAATCGGAATCATTTTTGGCTTGTTGTAATATCGTCTGACGCAAGTGACGGTTTTCTAGTCTGAGTGCTTCAATCTGTGCATTTGCAACCTAGTTAAGGGGAACAAAGTTCAAACAACAAACAGAGTTAGGAGCAGTGAAAAAAACAGCAACAAGTTAGAAAGTTAGTGTCAGGGTAGCAGGCCATGTTGGAGGAGGGAATGATGATGATGATGATGAAGTGGTTGAAAAATGTGAAAAACATGTGGAGTGCTTCTAGGTCAAAGTTGAGCCGTGACATTTTGTTTTCTAGCATAGAGCAGATAATTAAAATTTGGAATTCACATCAAAGTTCATATTTATTTTTTTACAAGCTCACAATGAACATCAATCATTGAGACTCAGGAGCATTCAATGAATGTAATAAGAGTACTGAGAACAGAATCTACTCTTCTGAAATCTCGCTTGGAATTTCTTTCAATTCTAAGTGAGAAAAAGATATCTGCAAATCATAGGAATGCTATGGAAACTTAAAAACATGAGTGCTAGTGATGAAAAAAATGTGTGGGTGCATGATTGCAATGAGTAATAGCAAATAGTGTACATCTTTTTGTACAGACCTGTAGCTCTGCCTGTCTTCTGTCGAGAGCCTCAACCTCATTCCGTAACTGAGCCTCAACATGGCTGGATTCCTCACTTAAATCTGCCATTGTTTTGGTGCGATCATGCAGGTCTTTGGTTAAGCGTGAAATCTCTGTCTTCAGACCTTGAACTTCTGATTCATACGCATCTTTCTGGGTGAGCTGTAGCTCTCTTAATTTACTGACTTCTGCTCTCAGTCTTTTCACTTCACCATTCTCTAACTTTGTCAACTCAGTTTTCTGTAATATGAATAAAATATTTCATAAAATTATCAGGTAGATGTCTTGCAGTTTCACAATTTTGAAAACATGAATTAATGTTTAAATCTTAACAATTTTGACATTTTTGTAAACAAAATTATTAAAGCAAGACCAAAAGGAGCATATAGAACAATGATAAGGTTTCAGCACATCAAGACTTCATTATCATTATAATGATTTCTTTGTCAATCTTTCTTATACATTTACATACAATCTCCAAAGCTATTTGGCACTGCAGTAACACAGAAATTGATAACTTTCAGTCATGGTTGACCTGTCTCACCTTTTGTTCCAGTTGATCGGTCAGCCTCTCGCAGTCCTCCACGGCTCGCTGGAGATGTGACTGTAAACTGGACAACTCCTCCTTCATTTCCTTCTCATGTTTTCTGCACATCCTACAAAACACACACAACATTCTCATTTATTATTATTTTTGACCAATCATCTTCATAGATCTTTTTTTTTGTTTATTCTAATATGAATTTCCTTATTAGACTATTCACATGTCTGAACATCTAACAGTAAGCTGTATATTCTAGTGACTATCAAGAGTTATTGCCCTTTGACTACCTGGCCTCCTCTTTAGCGTCCTCCAATGATTCCCTCATCAATCGAATCTGATCGCTCTCCTCCTTCTGTCTTATATCACTCAAAGACCTGCAGAAATTTTTTTTAAAAATATCATCTCATCATCTAGATCTACAATGTAGTTCTAACTTCTAGTTTACTTTCATATCCCTGGCATGCAGACTCAAAATCACAAAATATTTTTAAGACTTCTTCACAGACATTTAGAGGGAGATAACTCACTTTATGATCTCGTCTTTTTCTGCCAGCGTTTGCTCCATCTTTGTCATACTTTCACTGTGGATCCCTTTGTCCTCATCTAATGCCCTCAGCAGGTCCTCTTTTGCCCTCAATTCACTCTCCAGCTCAGCTTTCTCCTCTTCATAGTTCTATATAAAGACAACCTCTTTGAAGGTACCATGTACGATATTTTGAAATTGTGTCTCTATTGATATCTTGTTACAGAAAAAAAGTATTTGAAATTGTGCCTCTATGGAGGTTTCTGTACAATACTGTAAACATATTACATTTAGCTCTGTATTCTTTTTAGCGCCTTTGGCGGAAAGAAACGACCGCTAATTCATGTACAACGCTAAATGTCTTGCACATATATACCAGTACATAAATAAGAATGTTAAGAAATGCGCTAAATCAAATCTACCCTAATTTGTACAAAATAAAAATATTCCGCCAAATATCGTACAAGCTAAATATAACACATTTACAGTATTTCAAAATGTGATTTGAAATTATCAAAATGTCATTTACAAACATCATATGTCATAGTGCCTACAAATTTGTAAAATAAATATCCCCCATCCTGATATATTCAACCTAGTGACCTACTCTGATTGAGTCGTTGGCCTTCTTCAGGTCATTGAGAAGCTTTTCGTTGTCATCCATTGCTTTTTTGTGTGCCGTCATGGCATCATCCAGCGAGGATTTTAACTTTTCCACCTTAGTCTCCTGTGGAAAAAAAGCAAAGAATTCACAAATTGAAAGTCAAACAATATCTAGAGAAGAAACTAGCTATTGAATAGTTCACTTATATTTTGTTTCAATACTTGTATGTTTTTTAAAATGAGAGAAGAGGAACTAAACAGCTATATAAACACAAAGCCAGATACATCTCTTGTGAATTTCATGTGAAAAAGAGTTTCACTTGAAAATCACACAAGACACATTTTCTGTGTACAAAATCTACTAACAGAGTAAACCTTGACAGCTATAGATGATAGAAGAGAAAATGTACATTAATTATCAATGAGAGTGGTTTGATGCTATTAATACACTGCACACCTTTAGATGTAGACTAGTATACGTATATACCTGTGCTGTTAGTGTATCATTAGTCCGCTCTAACTGTCCCTCTAACTGAGTTATCTGATTTTTGAGACTCAACTCAGTGGAGTCGAGCATCTGTTTTCTGCGATCGAGTTGAGATTGGTACGTTTGGGACTGGCTCTGTGAAGATGAGAGGGTGAGTGATAAATCTATGGTCGTGAACTTAGTTCTCAATCGTGCATTACATGAGGTGCTTAGATACAGATTAAGTACATTAATGTGCATGCCTTATACATGTATATTATTCAGTGAAATGCTTTTCATTATTTTTGCTGAGAGTATGAAATGATGAGTTTATTTTTTTTTTTTGGAATAAGACTTTTTTCATTACATTATTGAAGCAGATTTAACTTTTCCATCTAAATATTTAAGTATGGCTGAACTTTACAGTGTTAGAATTTTATTCCAATATGTCTTGGATAAGTTAAATCTATACCTAATTTAATAAAAAAAAAAAATTCCTGTACAAAAATGCATTCAAAGGCCTAAATATTTATGAGACAGTACATATTGATACATGCAATAACTGACTATTCTAAGTAGCTGAAAATTGGTAAGTAAATGAATAGATGAGACACTCTGAATGTCATTGTGTAAAGAAATGATGGTATTACCTGAATGAATTCACATTTCTCTGTCAGGGCTTTCCTCTGGGACTCCAGTGCCTCAATCTGCTTCTGAAATGTCCGTCTTTGTAACTCCCAATCCTTGGCTTTCTGTCTATATTCCTACGTAATATAATGTAAAAGTCTGTTAGCTTTACCTTCAAGTGTACTCTGAATGAGCAAGAAATATCAATGTTTAAACAAGTTAGTTTTTTTCTTCAGATCACATTGGCGACTGTAATCTTATCTACTTTCAGATTTGTTTCTTTGACCTTTTCAAACTAGTGGGTATTGATTAAATACTGGTATACATTTTTCCTTATCATTTACACTTCTTAGGGGAAAAAAACCCCATGCAACATAAAAGTTTTGTTGGCATTACAAAGTCCGACATATTTTCTTTAGGCATAGTTTTACCACTCATAGGTCCCTATTAATATGGTGGCCAGAGGTTTGAAATAATTTGATTTCATTGTGCCTCTACTCCCGTAATATCTTTTACATTTGGACATTTATTTCATGGGTAAGTACACTTTTGTGCAGTCACCCTATCTTACTTTACTGTAACTATGTGTAACTTGAGATATCTCATTTTCTCTGTACTTACCAGTATAGTATTGTTGAGATGCCCTATCTCATTGTTAATGTCCTGTAACTCAGTGTGACTTGAGATAACTCAGTGTCTCTGTACTTACCAGTATCTTGTTGTTGAGTCATCCTATCTCGCTATTACTATCCTGTATCTCAATGTGACTTGAGATATCTCAGTGTCTCTGTACTTACCAGTATCTCGTTGTTGAGTCGTCCTATCTCGTTATTACTATCCTGTAACTCAGTGTGACTTGAGATAACTCAGTGTCTCTGTACTTACCAGTATCTTGTTGTTGAGTCGTCCTATCTCGCTATTACTATCCTGTATCTCAATGTGACTTGAGATATCTCAGTGTCTCTGTACTTACCAGTATCTTGTTGTTGAGTCGTCCTATCTCGCTATTACTATCCTGTAAATCGGTGTGACTTTTGTCTTTATCTCGCTGATGGTCTTTTATCTGTTTCACATGTTTCTTACTCAGTCTCTCGTAATCTCTCTTTACTTTCTGAACCTAAAAGAAATATATATAATACAGTTGAACTTTGGTATCTCGAACATGGATATCTTGAATACCATGGATATGTCAAAGTGATTTTGAAGTCCCCAACGCTTATTTCTTAAGTATTTTACCCTGGATATCTTGAATCCTTGGATATCTCGAAGTATTTTCTTGGTCCTGTGAAGTTCGAGATAACGAGGTTTGACTGTAACTTTAATGTGGTTCATTTAATTTCATTTATCTTGGTAATGCTGCATTACACCTGACAGACTTAGCATTTGGTACTTGTTTTTTTTTTTAACTTAATTTGTTAGAAATAAAAAAGTTAGCATTTCTTAATTGTTAATAAAAATTACTTTCAATTAATGAAGAAATAGGGTTTAACATTAAAAACTGTACTCATATGACCTTGACCTTGCATAAAATGTCTCCCTTTATGTTAAAGTTCCAGAGTGCAAACACACAGAGAGAATACACATGTAACATTATGTCCCCTTTTCTTCAATTTGGTGACATAAAAAAATGAAGTACAGAAACTTAAATATTTACAGGCAGTAAAAAGAAAATTAAAACTAAAACAAGGCCTACCTCATTTTTGAGATTGGTCAGTTGCTGTTCGTAACAAGTGACCAGTTCTCTGTGAGATTTCTCCATAGTCTCAACCTGAAGTCGCAAATGACCAATCTGTAAAACAAAAGAAAATTAAACTTAATTTTCAAGTACATGTTAATAAATAAATTTTTATAAAGTTTAAGTAAATAAGATTGTAGACTATGTTTTTATTTTTGTTTTTACGATTAACACTAAATACATTTCATATTTATGCATGCAAAAAAACCAAGACAATTTTTTTCTATCCTGAATACAGACACATTTTTTTTTTTGTTTGGTTAAAGGTTTAAAAAGCTCAAAGACAGGTACCAAGTTGCACTTCATTCTCAAAGACAATAAACATGCAATAAATATACTGGTAAGTATAATATATCGTAAAATTATCCCTGCATCATAAGCCTCCTACCCACCCACTCAGGTAACTCAAACATCAACTTGACGGCAAAAAGTATCCTCTTAAAAATAGGAAAAGAAAATTCAAAATACCTTTTCAGTCTTTGCGAGACCTTTATTTATGAAGGTCACGTGCAGTCTGTACTTAATTCCCCTAATTAAATCCACTCAATGATTTTTTGGCTTTGTTTGCCCCGACATTGTAAACCGATTAGCCAATGACTGCATTAAAGTTTATGAAGATGTCAATTAATTCCTCATTAGAATTAATTTAATTTGAACATGTTGAAAATATTAAAATGTGCACAAAGCAGAGATGTGCAGTTCATAATGATTTTTTTTAAATTTTGAAATATGCATAAAAAGAAAAAACTGGAGGAAGGAATTAGATATTGTTTGTATTGAATCTACAGACATTTCAATGCATACAGTTTAAGTCATCTTTTGGAGTCATTTTTAAAACTGCAATGGGTCTTTTCTTTATATCGATCTCCTTAATATGTGATTCAGGGCATATAGTTTTTTAATTATATGTTTTAGTAGGATGGATTTTGATTTAATTTTAATTTTAATTTAATTGAAATAATTGGAAAACTCCTTAGCTGCATAGGCAACGGAATAAAAGGGGAGAGGAGGACTTGGGCAGGACACTAGAGATGACTTTTTGGACATCAGGAACTATTTGGAGAGGGCCGTGCTGTCTGGGATATACATAGTCCATACATCATTAGGTACCAACCCATACCATTATTTATAAAGCAGGTAAAAATTAGAACACACGACGCATACAATGTACTCTAGTGTTTCAAAAATCACATCCCTATGAGTATAGAAATTCTCAAGAGATTATTTAAAAAAAAAAAACCCAGTTGATTCTCACCAAAGGAAAAGGTATTATCTGAAATATTCATCAATAATCATTTGACTAGAGGCTTATCAGATAAACAACCCAAGATGTGTCAAGCATGGATTAAACCTGGGTTCTGTATTTCTGAACTAATTGCAATGGGTGATAGACTTATTTGTCAGCAAGATTACACAGATTTACACAAAAGAACTTTAAATATGGAACGCTTCCAACAAAGTCCTTCAAATATTAAAACCTGCTGACAATTTTGTCAAATGGCAAATCTGAGTTCAAAATTATAAATAACAAAATATTTCAAATATTTAAATTAGTATTGTTTAAGTCCTCTGTAAAACTTTTCAAGTTCATTTTCTTACTTATAATTACTACTATAAACGTGGATGATTTAACAAAGTAAAATTTTGCAATTTCTATGCAACAAAGTGTTCATAAGGGGGTTATTTTTGCTGAAAATAAAAATTACATTTATGTTTATTGTTGTATTATATGGTAGCTTTTTTGAAACTTCATGTGGTGAAAGATTTTGTAAAAACTTTACTCATCACAAAATTTGTTAAAATTTTCCCACACAAACATTTCCATGTTTACAGTATTATCAACAAGAAGGAAAATAATTTTCGTGTTAAATGTCATTCAAACATTCAAATACAATATAATGATATCACAATTGCTTGCTATATGTACAACAACCCCCCACCCCTTCCTTGAACAGACAAAAAGTAAAGACATCCTTGTACAGACATACAGTAGAGACGTCCACACAATAGGGCTGTGTATTGAGCAAAATATTTCGATACGATACGATACAATATTTTATAAAGCGATATGCGATATATTGGATTCTTTAACAAGTCTATCAAAAAAGTCTTGTATATCATTTAATCCATAGATTTGATAAAAACTGGGTGTTTTATTACCAAATTGGAAGTTCATGTCTCACTGTCTTTACAAAGTACACTTCGAATTCAAACTTTTAATGACTGTAAAACTAACATGTTAAAATATAGTTGTCTATGTATTTTGTAATAGTTATTTAAGATGTGCTATCTCCTTAATGTTTTAATTCATTATTGATCATTTTTAATTCAAAACAGTTAAAATAACCTTTGGTGACTGAAATTCTCAACTTTTTCACAGAATTATAACAAAAACTGCCTGCCCGATACATATTGGAAGTTATTTTTCGATACGATACATTCCTGAATATTCGATATGTATTGATTAATCGATATATTGACACACCCCTACCACACAAACTGGTGTTACTTAGAAACATTTCAAGACATTTCTCAGGCTAAGATGAGGAGATAAAGCCTACCAATTTTCCAATTAATGAATAACTAAATAGAAAAGTTAATTAATGGAAATTTTTAAATATAAGATTGGCACAGTCAAACCTCATTATCTTGAACTCAAAATATCCAAGGATTAATCAAAATCTTTATTGTGATTAATTTTTTTAAAGCAAAGTTATTTACGAACTAATCTTTTGAACAAAATCATTCATCCTGTGTTAATCAGGTACCTAACCATACTGATAAATCCTACCTCTTTATGCTTTTGTTCAATGGTGGACTTCTGTAGTAAATTTTCCTTGTCTTTTAGCTCCATTTTACTTTGAAGGCTCGTAATTTGGTGTTCCCAATCTTTCTTTTTAGTGGCCATCATGATGTCGATCTGTTTCATCAACTCCTGAAGCTCCGCCTCGCAGCTTGCTGTCAACACTCCCTTAGGTAACCTACAATATCAGTCCTCTATGGCTTTAGTTTATATCAATCCTTGCTGGCTAGAGTTTTACAGTGATTTACTGTGGCCATGAGAATTCAATATAAGCTCCAGACTGATCTGGTTTTTCATTCATTGTTCACAATAAGTAAAACCAATATTGTCATTACAGTAATTTTTACCAGCTATTAAATTCAAAAATTTTTAAAAAGGTTTACCAATATTTAATAGCGATTCTCTGTAACCACTTAAACTTCTTTGCCACGCATGGTCACCGATTTTGATGAAACTTTGCCCATTATTACAACTTGACACCAGAAACATATATCAAATAAAATTTCGTTGCTATGTGTCTTGGTTGCCATGGTAACAGCCAGTAAAGTTGAAAAAATTGAGATTTTCAGCTACTTTAAATCTTTATTAAGTCTTAATAAAGACTAAGAAAAACAAACAAACCATTCTCCCAAAAACATGACACCTTCTTGCCACTTATGCTATAGAGAAACTATTTAGAATTAATCTCTATGTAAGTGGTAACCATGGGTACATTTGGAATACATTTTAGATGCTGAAAAATGCTGAAAAACGCTCTATAGTCACAAATGATAGATGTTACATGATCAAACTCAATCAACAATGTAAGAAAAACAATGAAAAATATTTGACCTCATGTAATTAGGTATTGGCAATATTATTCTAAAAATAACTTTCATGGTTGCCATGGTAACACAGTGTCACCATGCAAAATCCGTTGCTATGATTGGGTTAATGCTACTATCGTGAGGAAAAACAATAAAATTCATGACTGGCACATATGCATCCTTAGGATCTTGCAACACCGACAACATAAGAAAAATGAAATTAATTGTTACTTTGCAGTGTAACCATGGAAACAATGTACTAGTTGTTTAAAGTGATATTTTTTTTGCTGCTTTGGGTATTTACTAACCTTTTAATCAAGAAAAATATTATTTGAATCATCTTGAATAGTACTTATCTCGTAGAACTAATGTTGAATATCATATATTGATAAAGGTTATTGAAAAATACAACACTGTTGCTATGGTTACCAAGAAGAGAAAATGTTCGATTTTGTTAATTTTTTGTCAATATTAGACCCTATGTGCCAGCTTTTTGCATCCAGTTAGAGATTGGGTGATAGTCAAAATTGAAAGTCAGGTTAGTTGTTCACATATATCAATCATTAAAGTTTTGGGAATCTACATACAACGGTACGTATCCAAGGAAACAGAGTATTTTTCAGATTTTTATACATGTTTTTTCGCCTTATTTCCATAGCAACGCACTATTTAAAGAATTGAAATTGAATTTTTTGAAATGTGAAAATTAGGGTCACACCAAGGCCTTTAAAAATTGATCATCAGTTATATAGAAATATGCTTTTTAAATAGATAGGATAAGATTAAAACACTAAGAGAGTAAATTTAGAATCCCTTCGTGGTATTAAAACCATGGCAACCATTGTCAACCTATAAGAAATATCATATTTTGTCCTTGGTATATGTTACAAGGATCTCTTCTCTATTAATTGCTTGCATTTCAAGCTATAATTGTTTTTATTCTTAAGTGTATGACTTTATAAAATTAAATGAACAAAATTATTACTTTTGAATACTTTGTTTCCATAGTAACGTATGTTAAAGATGATTTACCAAACATGTTTATCATGCATTTAAGACACCAGGCCTTCAACTTTCAGAAACAGTCATTACCACTTGTTTGCTTTGCTGCAAACGTTAACTGTGGGACTCTGAAGATGTTAAAAAATGCCATTTTTCAAACTTTAGGACATGTTGCTATGGTAACCATGACACGTAGCAACCAATTTTTGCCTGATATGAGTTTACGGTATCAAAGACTTTTATCATAGAGAGTTTGGAGAAATTCTGAGACTATGCGTGCCACAGCTCCTATATAAAAGTTCAAGTCATTACAGAGAATGGCTCTTAAAGTGTCATTTTTATGCCATAAAAACCTCGCCACAGAGCTGCATTAAGGTAATGTATATCTATTATTTTTAAACCAAAATGGCAAAATTAATGATCAATCAATTAATCAGGTATATTGATCATAGTATTTACTCACTCTGCTTCAGTGAAATACACACAGGCACCTCCGGGGTACCACTCTGTACAACTCTTGTATGTGTACATTTATACACCCTCAAAATCTCAGATCCCAGTACACACACAGAAACATACTGACACCCTGCGGCTTCAGTCTGATTTTGAGGCTAAGTGATCTACCCGTAAATACCTCTGAGCTAATTAAACGACTTGTATGAATTGATTGATTCATTAAAATACAGGAGGACTAGCTATAACTGATAATTTAGAAGACCTCACCTTTTATTCATTGCGTATTTAAACAGTTCTTCCATACTCCGCTGACAAGAGATAAAAATCACAAACTCTGACAGTTTCTACAGCTAAGACATGTCAAGTCAGATCTCAAGAAAAATCCATAATTCTGTGTCCTATCGAAGATCCTCTTTTAAAAGCACTAAGACAAATCCAATTTATTCTTCCAAAGAACTGAGCCAGTTTGAAATGTTAGGAGACAATTGATTTTTCTTGTAGATAGAAATCAGTAAGAGTGAAAATCAATACGTCATTAAAATTCAGCTTTTAATGACCAAAGATCAAACACTGATCATACAGTTTTCTTTTTTATTTTATTTTGAAAAGAAAAATGGTAAAATGGTACACTAGGTAGAGATGTATGGAGAACTGTCAAAAATACCAAATGTGCACTAGCTATAAAACCTCAACTATGATTTCAGAAGTTGATCTTACAAACATGATAAAAGCTAGCAGGTACAACACATTTCTTATCTTTACAATAAAAGAGTTAAGTGCTAAAGTGCTCTCTCTCTCTCTCTCTCTCTCTCTCTAAAATGCCTTAAACTGTGACATTATTTACAAGTAAGTGTGAAAAATCATGTGCAAACCAAAATAATTCTAACCCTCAAATAGCTAATCTTAGCCACAATTGTATAGCATTTTTTCTGTTCACAAACTGTGCTAAGCACTCAAACAGCAGACAGCAATATGCTACCTATGGCCTAAATGAAATCGGCACTCTGCACTATTATATTACCCTTGACCTCAACACACAAGGTTATATGTGCTAAGAAAATTTTGTGTATGCATGTTTTTTTTTAGCAATATCACACCAATCTTTTTGAGTACTCACTCGTCTTTCTCAGTCATTTTATAAAAAAAATTACATCTCGGTGGAAATTATGCTACAAAAGATTTCTCTAAATGTACCAATTATGCTATGCTACAAAACATGTTGATATTATGGCATATATAATCTGTACACCTGAAAGTGATATCTTTGTCAACCTACTAACCCCATTAAAAAAGAATTAGGAACAATTGATTTCAAAATCTTAAATGAACCTTGAAATGTCATGATGTTCTTAATTAATTCTCATTAAAATATGTGTAATGTTAGATGTATTACCGTAGAATAAGTAGCTTAATTATTGGACTGCTTAATTAATAATCTTAATAATCTTACTTTACAAAAAAATATCTTGACTAAATGCAAAGGAACTTTACACTTACAAGTTATCTAGTTTGGTAAAAATATAACACAAAAATCAAATAATATTTGACTGTTAGTTCATTTCACAATAAACATGCTTTAATAAGTTCAGAAAATTATCATAATTATGACTTAACATCAGGATTTGCTGATATGTACAAAATGAGATATTAAAATAGAATCTTTAACTTGAAACAAAAATAGTGCTCCAGGATCTAGTCATGAAACTTTTTAATTAATTCCATAATTCAACATTTTTTTTTTTTTTTAAATTTCTTAGTACCTACTAGTAGGTGAACTTGTTACTAAAATACTGCATGAGATATTATTTTTAAAGTGTTTTGATTTTGAGGTAATTTGGTTCTCCAGTTGTATACTATTTTGAACTTAGCAATTTTAATTTTCTCAATTCTGTTAATTGGCTAGAACAAGATGCACATGAACATTTCGATATTACTGTAACTTCATCTCTTTTTTGTGGCAATTTGATCGCATGTAGTTAAAAATTCACAAAAATCTGACAAATACTGAAGTAAACTAATTATACACCATACACTTGTACATAAATTAAATTTTTAGTTTGTCTAGAATACAAAATATCGAAATTTATTGTTTTTTTTACTTCATGAGAAAAAAAAAATAATTTGTAGGATTGCACTCAAATCAGTTAAATGACAAAAATGAGGAAGCCCCACCTCTGATCTCTCTGTAGATCCACCCACAGGTTTGAGATTCTGTCCATCCTTGTCTCATTGGGAAGGTCAGATTCCACAAGCAGGCTCTTTACTAACTCCCTGTACTCTGTAAAAATATAACATACTATATATAGTAAATACAGTTGAACTTCGGTATCTCGAACACTGATATCTCGAATACCATGGATATGTTGAAGTGATTTGGAAGTCCCAAACACTTATTGTTTAAGTATTTTACCCTCGATATCTCGAATCCTCGGGTATCTGCAACTTTTTTCTCAGTCCCATTGAGTTCGAGATAACAAGGTTTGACTGTAATTGTATATTCCCATATTCACACAAACCATTGAAAACCTATATACACCTCATACTGATGTTAATAGCCATGCATTTGGATAAATTCATGTTACATTAATTGTAGCATAATTATTTGCAATTGATAATTTTTTTTAATAAGCAAAGAGGAGGCTGAATGGAATATTTTTTTCTTTCAATTTTCCGTTGTCCAAAAATTTAAGGTGATATGGCAATTGATACCTTAGAAAGAAAAAAAATAGTTTAAAATATTTCAAGGATATGACAGGATACAACTAATTGTCAGATCTAAATCGTCCAGTTGAAAATACCTAAGCATGCACCTTATCTTAAAGAAGCTCTTATGCCTTATCTTTAAGTATCCGCTAGTCAATATCTTACACATCTATGTACCTATATGAAGTGAGAACATTGATAATTCATAAGGAGCAAACATTGTAGATTCTACACTTACTTGACTGTTGACACTGATAAGATTTTACGACAGTTTTACAGAAGCAACCCTCAAACAGTAATCCAATCAAAGAGATTTACAGCTCCCAGCTCTTAATGTCAACAATAAAATCGACAGATTGTTACACACAAAGAACTTGACTTAGAATTCTACCCTCGAATGTTAAACATGCTACAATGTTTAAAGAATATCTTTGCTCAATGAAAAAGACCTTTGTATTTGGGGGAGAAAAAAAAAACATGTCTGGCCAAGTGAATTAAATACCTAACTTCTTTTACAAATTAAATGGAAGATTGAAGGCACAATGCAATTAAAACACAATTTAATTGGTTTAAAGAAAAAACCCATTGTATAGGAACTGCACTTGAATTCAGTGGTGCTAATGAACAAGTCCTTACATTATTGTTACAAATCTTTTACATATACATATAACATGAATATTTAATTTTCAAAACCTTCAAAACCAGAGACACACATTTTTTCTTGACTTGCTTTGTGTTGTAGGGTCTACTAACTTAACAGATGTGTAAACAAGTAAAAAATATTAATTTATTACCAGAGTTCAAAAGATAATGATGAACATGATAAGCATGAGAAACCTAGTCATAACCTGGGCTCCGGTTACAAGCTGAAACTTGGTTTGTAAGAGAAGAAATCGTTATATTTCAGAAAAATTTTATTCATAAGCGGAATCTGTTTTTCAGTTTAGGGGCCTTAAATTCATTTGAAGATGTCAAGACAAACCCATGGGAGAAAAAATAAGATAATACGTTAAGCAAGATGAAATCTACACCTAAAAGCAAAATATTGACTGAGGTTTCAATGTCTTCTATCTTTTTATACATATAGTTTTCAGACGTGGAACACACAAGTATCTCACCATAGTGATCAATAAAATCATCAAAGAAAACTTCTGCATGCATTATTATAGGTATTTCTGAATATTAATACACATTTTAATAATTGAAATACATGTACATGTATTAATTAAACATTACCTTATGGTCATAGGTCACGTGATAGGGTTATGAGTTAATGTTATCTTTTATAAGAGAGAGTCCACTTCTTACTAGAATCCCGAGTTCAAGGGACATGTAACAAGTTAAACTGTTTAAGAGTTCAAGAAATCCAATAATAATTAGTGGTGCACATGATGGTAAAGAGCCTCTCTTAATACTTTTATAACAGAAAAGAAAATGTGGCATAACAAATTAGGATGTAAATCCAGGCTACATGAATTTTAAGCAACTGCAATTGCAATCACAATTTCTTGGGCCTTTCTGACAAGTGCAAAAACAACCTCAAATGTGATATGTAGGCATCCATGACACCCCCCTCCCTCTTCAATGATATTACTTAAAATATGCTACAAAAGGGAGAATCAACTCTGTCTATCCAATACTTTAATAAATAGGAAGTGACTTCATTTTGTATAAGATTTTTTCATCTGATGATGTAAATGCATTTGAGGTGTGTTTCCAAGCTTGCATGAAAGGTCTGAGAAGATGCAGCTGCAACTGCTCCATCAACTCAGAGCTATCCAGCCAATGGGAAATAAGCCTGCTGAGTGCCACATCCCCCCTTTAATGTCTTAATTCGTCCCTTATGACACCAAGACACCAGCATAGGTTTGTCCTTGGTCATTTTTTGCAGCTCATAGCAAAGCATGGCACCAAACATAACGGCTAAGGAGAAACTGTAATAGAAAAGACCAGGATATAAGCCCTGGTGCCCACTGAACTCTATATACAGATATACTCTAAGTTCTATGAGCTATCTGACCACCAGCAAACAAACTGTTGGCAACATTCTCCTAACTTAGATCTTTATTGTACTGTCAAACCTCATTATCTCAAACTTCACAGGACCAAGAAAATACTTCGAGATATCCGAGGATTCGAGATATTCAGGGTAAAACACTTAAGAAATAAGCGATTGGGACTTCAAAATCACTTTGAAATATCCATGGTATTCGAGATATCCATGTTTGAGATACCAAAGTTCAACTGCATTCATTCCTGAAGATATTAAGCTACTCTCTCCCTGGCATGTTTCTATTGACAATGTCTGTTGTTTTGGGGATTGATCAGGGCATGAAGTGTATCAGAAATGATGAGAAGGATCAACCTGTAATTCAAACTTAGGCCTCCCTTATCTCTTAACTTTAACGATTGCAACATATACAAATCAAAATATATCTTGCCATAAACTATAAAATTTGAGTACAAATAGAAATGTTCTACACCTAGTGATAAAGATGTAGCCTTATTACTTACGATAACCATGATAACATAACAATTAAATGTCCCCCTATCGAAAATATTAATATGTTCTTTAACTTACTTTGCCTTATCATGCTCATATATTCCAATTTTTAAAAGAGATGCAAAATTTTTTTTTTTTTTTTGAAAAATGATGATAAAATGATACTTTTAAACATGTTTCTACCTGTTGGTTATGGTATGCCTTCATGACAGTTCATGCTGTTTACAAATATGTACGGAATTTTCAAGCTTGAATGGATTGTCAATAAACTAAATAAAATAATACTTACACAAAAAGATACACTACCATTCACTTATTTCTGAAAAAAGAAGCAAGTAGTTTAAAATAATTCCCTCTTTTTTTTTGTAAACACTCCGTTGACAAACAGAAAGTGGAGCATTTCCGGCTTTTACGACAATCACAAAGGGGGCGTGTCATATGACAAAGTGAAAGTAAATCAAAGCTGCAAAATGTTGTTGATGTTCGAAGACCAGCACAAGGAACACTTGTCGTTTCTTGCAAAAGTTAGTCCAGATGGTAAGCATTCGTTAATTTACTAACAAATTTCTTTATTTACCGTGGACTCGGCATGAAAAGAAACAATACATTTACGTGTACATCCTATTTTCTTTGGAGAAGTTACATTATGACTATCCAGCTACATAGGCTGAGGCTATGCCTGTCCAGTTACATAGGCTGTAGGCATGTCTGTCCATTTCTTTAAAAAGAATATTGTACAACCCACTACACAGGTACAATTACTTGTTTGAGCTATGTTGCTTAAATTAGCAGAAATATAGTGGATTTTATGGGATTTTAATTTATCGCTTGACCAACCCATATTGATGTCCCTATAAACACATGATCAAAGCTTATATTAAATTTAACCCATGGTCTTGTTACTTCATTTACCTTTCAACTGTTCTCAACTGGCTTATGTAACTTTGTAGTCCCACTATGTTATTGTAACAATAAAAGAGAAAAATGCAACGGACTAGGCTGGGATTCGAACCTGGGCCCCCTGAATCTCCAGTCAGGCTCTATACCAATATAGAGCTATCTGGCCAATGACGATCGAAGCCATCTGATCTCCACATTATTATAAAGGGGGCATAACTCTAACTGGCATTTCACTTTTTTATGTTCACAAAAATCCCTGTTTAGTAACTGAATGATACTGATACCAACAAAATGGCAGCTAAATTGATAATGCACAGAATTCTGACTTGTTAAAAGGATTTCATTCACCATACATTTGTAATGTATGGTGTCCGGATAGGGCCATTTCCAAATGCTCAACAGCGCATTCAGAAAAACATGCCATCGCGCTAACACACAACACAACTTTACACAACACGCTGTCACACACCTCACTAACACAACTTTGTGAGTTGTGTGTTAGCGCAACAGCGTGTTGTGTGTTAGAGCGACAGCCTGTTGTGTGTTAATTAGCGTGACGGCATGTTGTGCGAGCTTGTGTTAGCGTGACGTTGTGTTGTTCAATGATGTGTTAGCACCATGGTGTGTTGTGTGTTAGCATGACGACATGTTGTGTGTTAGCGTGACGGCATGTTTTTCTGAATGCGCTGTTGCGCTTTTGCAAATGGCCCTATCCGGACACCATAGTAATGTTATTGTTATTTTAATAAAAAGAAAGACAACTTACTAAAATACCAACCTTGCTTTTTTACAATGTATTTTCAGAGAAAATCCAAACTGAAAAATTGCACATTTACTGCACTTTTGAATAAATACACATGAATTAAATTTATTGTTCAAAATTCACATTTGATTATTTATCATTGATAATCATAATAAGTCAGCTTTGTAACTTTTCAGTGGTTAAGGAGTTCTGCAGAATTAGTATGGAATTCATCAGAAAAGGGACGAATCCAAAGATTTTCCAAGGAGCAGCACGTAAGAACAGTGGTCAAGGAGAATTGATAAAAAATTAAAAACGATACTTCGCATAATGCTATTAAGTCTTCTGAGTGAGGTTATATTGCAACTAAAATGTATATTGCTGTTATTACATTCTCTTTTCCAAGACATGAAAAATGAAAATGAAACTCAAGATTTGCTTCATTTCTTTTACTAATCAAGAATCTCCAGATATAAGATTTGTAATATTATTTATATACCAGGTATATGATAAATAATAAAATAAACTCTCAGATTGATTGTTTTTCAGAGAAGCTGAATGTTGACGCGGATACTGTACAGCATGGAGTAGAGGGGCTTATGTACTTAATGACAGAGAGCTCTAAGCTTATGGTCTGTATGATCTAAAAATCACACAATTGATTTACTTTTTTAATCCTGAGTTGGACTATGATCTATCTGACATGACTTAAACAACTGTAATTTTACTTATTGGAAAGATTTTCATTGCATTATTTAGAATCACCTCAAGCTCGTGGTTTTTAGATCTTTTGAATAATCAAGCAAGAAAATATAGAATGTACATGTATGAACAGTTACAGTCAAACCTGCCTTATCAGCCCACTGGCTTAATGATCACATAGCTATCATATTTTTTTTATTATTTGAAATTGACCATTTTTGTAATGATAATCTGTATAAATTAGCTTATACATGTACTAATAATTGTACCGGTACACTGTATATTAATTTCTTAATTTAAGACTTTCAGTGCATTATTTATAGTCATCTTTGGTTTATCATTTTTTCATAATTATAATCATTGATTGTAGTTGAATGAGATTGATTTCCAAGACTCCATTATGACACTTGGATTTGAGGAGGACATCAGACAAACACTTCTGGAGATCTACCTACAGAATCGACGAGAAATTAGAACCATCTTATCAGAAATGTCCATGGATCTCCCTCATTACCATAACCTGGAGTGGAGATTTGATGTACAGGTATTGATTATTTTTTCATTTTTAACAGCAATGACAATGATCTGCATTAGGTATAAAAAACGAAACAAATAGATAACTGAGCAATGAATTGTACATAGTGAGAAGTATGTGTGCCATTGATGATGAAAACTTAAATTATGTGTCTGGTATACCATAGCTACTGATGAAAAAACAGATACCTGTACAATTAAATTTATTGTATATTATTGTGAATGTTTTTGTGAAAACGCATTTATTTAAGAAAAAAGGTATCATTTTAAACATCTATCAGGATATAAATACGGGTTGGTCACGAGATCAAATTCTATAAAGCCCAAAGGGCTTTATGGTAAATTTGATCTCGTACCAACCCGTATTTATAGATATGCATTGCTTTTAATAGTGTTATATAAAAGAAAACATTTGCAAATGTAAATATTCTTATTTCTGGATGACTACTGCATGCAAACACATGTAAGGCACTGAAAACTGTATATCTTCACTTAAGTTTATGAGACTTTATTTTCGCACGACAAAATCGTGGTGCATGCCTTTATCTTTAAAACTAGAAAGTTACATTTACTCCAGATCACTTTAATTCTTTTACAATTTATCTGCTTGCAGGAATGCTATTCAAGCTACTGAATGAAAAACTCCCCTCTGAAATGCATACATGTACATTGATCTGTTCCATTTAATATATTAAGTCACAGTTAAAGATTTGCCAATGCCCATATGACAATGTGTTAATGGTAGTTTGCAGGTGTACTTGGTGCTGTGTTTAAAGGGCAACAACTCTTACCAGCTAATCATGAAGATGTTAACTTACACCCACAACCTTTTTTTTTCAGTTGGCCAGTAGGTCACTCAGAAGACAGACCACTCCCACAATTCTGTTCAAACTTCAGACAGAAGAGTCAGGAGTCAAGGACACTACAATTCTACAGACTGACCCAGTGAACTTAATGCACTTAACCAAAGTTCTGGACGAGGCGCTTCAAGAAATGAAGTCACCCTATTGCAGGAGAATAGTTAGAAATATTAAATGAATTGAAACTCTAAAATATGTGCATTAATCTTTGACATTTCTAGAGTGGATGCCTTGATATACAATGTTTTCTAAGTGAAACATTCTTTATGTACTGATGTGTGAACCAAGGTAGAAACAAGCTGATAAAAAGTAAAAGGAACAGGAATGACATGCTTTCTAAGTCCATCCACCTGAACAATATGTGACTTTCACTGGAAATAAAGTCAATACATTGAACATCATATATACTGTACTGAATTTTATACAACATGTATATTGTTTGTACTTTTTTTGTTGTTGTTGTTTAAGTTATACAAGTAAATATTTGTCCAATTTTCCAATAAAATTAAACTGTTCTATCACAGTAAAGAAATGCCATTTGCTTTGAAAAGTTTACATTGTACCAAATGAATATACGAGAGGCATTAAACTGATATATCAGGTTTATGAACTAAAAAACATGTCATCAACAGAAAAATCAGCTTTAGTGATAAGTTGGTATATGAATAAATATACTATTGAAATAAAGATGAACAGAGTTTAGTGATTAAATATTTACAAACTCTGTAGTTGGTAGTGTTTATAGGTTATTTATTCATATAAACATACTAAAGTCATGATCTTGAGTCTGTTTACTGTAAGAAGGGACTTAGCTTGCTGAGATAGTCTTTGTTCAAATTACATTGGTGACTGGTAGATTACAATTTATATTAAGTTTAAATTACTACCATATTTCCAAAGAAATTCTACACAGTACAGTTAAGGTGCCCAATGGAAATATGGGCAATTTTTTGTGACCAAAAAATACATTTTTTATTGGGATAGCGATTCTTTTTAGTACTTTACTAATGTGGGATAAATGTAATTATGGTTATTAACTACATATTGAGGACGATTAGATTTTCTATTTAGACCTGTCATGTGATTTGCGCACATATACCGGTACTTGCAGTATTGAGTTACTTATTAATTTCAGTAGTGCAAGGGCATAACCAAATTAAAATTCTAAGTTTATAGATGATGTTAAGATTTCCCGTTTAAATTAAGCCCCGCCTCCTTTCTGTAGACTTGACTGTGCTGCATACTGAAAGTATTACTGTATGCATCAAAATGAATTGTTAAACCTTAAATGATTCTTCATTTTTCAATTTTTACTAGGTGATCTAAAAAATTTGTCTATGAATCGGTTGCTGAGATTTTGGACGTTGATAAGATGTTGGATTGCTTTGATGGTTTTTATGCCCCACTTTATTCCTCAGCATAGGTGGGATCAGCTATACATGTATCTAATTTGCATTTGTTGGTGTTGGACAAAATTGACAAAAATAAATCCACAGTTTTTTTCATCTTTATCGTTAACATGGAAGTCAGTGCAAGATCATAATAAAGAGTAAAAGGTACGTCTAACAAAACACTTTATTGGGAGGGTTCTTGTGCAGAATGTGTTTTGCCAAACTGTTGCCTTTATAGCTTATTCATTATCTTCAGTCAATTACTGATCAAATTTTGAGTTTAAAAGAGCATGATATGTCATGATATAAGTATTAAATACATTGTAGTACTTTAACAAGATAAATTAGTGCCCCAAACTTTCCATTTTCTTATATAAATGTATTGAGTGCATTTATCTTTAAAAGTGTTGTATTTTATTATAATGTTACTATAATCATATTTTTGACCAACATCAAAATGTACAGTTACTTTGTAATTAATAGTCCTACAAATAACAAAATAATTTAAACTTGCTAGGGAAAATATTCTGAAGCATGACCACAAAAATAAAAAGACTAGAACTTTCAAGTTTATTTAAAAGTATAAAGAAAATTACATAATTCAACACAACTTACAATAAACAATTCCATAACCCAACATTAAAAAGCATGTAAAATGTTCATATGTAAATATCAAGAATCTTCAGAGTCGATATTATGCAATATCACATAAGGGATATTAATCCCATTATAAACTTGCATTCTGTACATTTGATCACTTCTTTGCATGTTTATAACCAATACTGAATCCTATTTTGTATTATGACAAAATATAGATAATAATTAATGAAAATGTAAATAACATTTTTAAGTAAATAAACACTTCTGTGTGCAGTGAATCTTGGTTTATAAAATGACATAAAAAATCTTGGTATAATTACGAATAAAAGAATGATGTTGTTTAAGAGGACAATTTTGTTCATCAATAAATGGTCATAATTCCTTCTGTAAGAAAAATAAGTTGAATGTAAGCATGCACAGAAAGCAATTCCTCAAAAAAAGCAACAATTGAAAATAACTGAGATCTGCCTCATACATGTCATATGCAAATTAAAAAGAAAAAAAAAACTCTCACAAACACCCAACTTTTTTCATGATACTTATTTTAGAATTATAAGATTTTCATATGTGTCCCTATGAGATGTTTCTCGTACCATTTCATAACAAACAGCAAAAATTACACATGTAAAACAAAGGAGCATAAATTGAAGATTTAACATGATTTAAACTGGAATTTGGCTGTTTTTTGCGAACTACATTTATTTGTGATTGGATTACAAAAATATTATTCTCTACTAATTCTAATGTATCTGATATCATAATTGAAAATGCTTTCTGCAAAGGTATTAACAAATTACAGCTCAAACACAGTTACATAAAATCTGTAATAATTCTCATACAGAAAGGTGAAAGTAATATGTATCATAATACATGTACAATTTATTCTTATATCACATTAATACCGGTAAGTACAAAATATATGCACACCTGAGCAACAGCTATATACAATACTGCATCTGTATCTTAAAATTATACATGTAAAAAAAAAAATGCCCATGTTCAATCTCAAATATATTTTTTGCCACTGCTGTAGGGAATTTATTCAACCTATACACATAAAAAATTAAAGACAGATATGTTTATGAGAGAATCGTGATTAAAAATCTGTTTTTTAGCACCTGTAAGAGTAATTATCATGGATACAACCTTGGCAATGAACTCACACATCAAAAAAAGAGTCTCTTTTAAAAATGCCCCAAGAAAATATTTGCTCACAGTCTCTTAACCAAAGAACTATTTCTTCACTATCAGAATAAATGTTAATGTTGAGCATTGCTATGCTTTCGGCCTTGTAGAAACGTAAACATAAGCTACAATAATGGCTGCAATAACTAAGAGGACAGGCAGGCATATCTTAAGGGCATTGTCATGGTTTTTCAGATTTTCTAGTTTCCTCTCTCTTTTCTCCTTTCGGTTTTCCTTCACTTTTCCCTTCAGTTGACGCATTGTTCCAATTCCAAGCTAAAAATCAAATTAATATATAGCTTCTCTAAGCATTATTCATCCAATCTAAGTCTTATTTTTTGCTGTACAGTATATATAAATATACTTTAAGATAACTACTTTTGAAAATATAATCTCTTTAGACGTGTCATAAACAAATTATTATTTTTGAAGACACATTTACAAAGTGTACAAAATCAACGAATACACAACAGCACAAAACATGTGCAACTAACATGACTAAATTACCTATCCCAGAAGAAATAATCCTCCTGTAAGATACTTCTTCTAAACACCCAATACTCTTGCTACGATGGAGAAAAAAAAAAACATAATGACTCTTAAGAAAACAATGTAGATTTTGTGCTTATTTTTTGGTACTCCAGTGCAAACATTTCATACTTTTCTTTAAGTTTTCGTGTGTTATTACTTTTTTATTCCTATAGTTGTACATACCTTTACTGCCACGTAACGAACAGCTTAATGAGTGCATGTAATCAAGACACTATACACCTAATAAAAAAATGTAAATTAAGTCTGATGTCACATTGTAATGAAGTTGACACGTTTCCTACTTTCTGTTTTACACTTTAACATGAAAGTGAAAGTAGGTTCCTGCACTGTTTCGAGGAAAAAGTGCAAAGGAACAATTAATTTTTATATTTTTAAAGTCTAGAACTAAAATGTCAAAAATATGATTAAGTAGAAAAAATACGATAATATAAAATAAATTCAACTATGCTGGGAAAGTATTTTATCAACATAAGGCTGTTTTCCCATGCATTCAACAGATGTTCAATGGTTTATTATAAAAAAAAAAATAACGTTATACTTCCGTAGTTAATACAGTTTTGTAACTGTTAAAATTATTTTAAAGCAGCAATAAACATGCCTCGTATAAGTTAAAAGTTTTATCAGCAATACTGAACAAAAAACTTGTTTTTTATGTTTTCGCTTATTTTCATGTACCTTTTTCGCCAATTAGACATTTATAAACAATGCGCAACCGGAAGCACGAGTTTCAAATTTTTGTTTATGTCTGTGTCTGGACCTGTCTTCGGAGAGCGGCAGTGGGTAAACTAACGATTTCCAGCTTGGATAAATTTTGCAGAAAGATGTAGCATTGTATCAGAACCATGGAGGTACAATTTTTATATATTTTTGATTAATTTTATTTCTACTTCGCGCATATTGTAAAGATTGTAAGATATTTTCTAAAAATGTCAAAGGGACAAACCACAAGAACATGCTTGTTTATTCTATTGACTTCAACATGACAATAGAATATTAATGTAGCGTGACACTTTGAATACAATTTGAGAAAATGAGCGTTATCTAAAACCCAAATAGAACACAAAAATATTCACCTACGGCCATTGTTCCATTCACCACTGTTCACACCTCTGTAGATTAGTTTCTGTAAAACACAACAGAATATTATATTGATTATTATTTATTACAACTGGAATGCTATTTGAAGTTTTCATAAACAAATGTGGAAACATTCATTAATTCTTCTGTGGAATTTATAACATCTGTGTATTAGGGATTTATTTCTCTTAGACTTGACCTGAGATGACAGAAGTGATAATTTAAAAATTTCAATACACTGTCAACTTCAATGCTGTGATATTGTATTACTGTGAATATTCAGTGATTGTAATTTTTGATAAAGCAATGATCAACACCTTCTGATGACAGGTTTCAATGGCTTCACCTTTCTGTAAGCGATTTGTAAAAAATCATGTGATAGCCGGATTTATTGAGCATGGATGTGAAGATAATTATTCATTGAGTATGTATGCTCTGATTTTGGTGAAAGTATGGGGTTGAAACAGTTCTGAGTGATATGCAAACCCACCCAAGACTATACCCTCTAAATCATTACTTATTAACCTTTCATAGACATGAATTAATTATTACAAATGGCAAAAGGTATGTCAGGATATAAATAGAATATTGTTGGAGAAATTTATTTCATGCAGTAAAAACATTTTTTTTTTTTCAGACAAAAAAATTGATTTCTTCTTTTAAAGTAATATATTAAAATCCATTCGTTTCAGACATTGTAAACATAAAGAAGATCAAAAGGTCAATATAAATGAAATAATTTTATGTATTTAACCCCCTCCCTACTCTTCAACACTTTAAAATTCACAAAATGCTTGCTTATGATTATTGTTTGTATAAATTTATTGTCTTTAGAAAATTAAAGAGATGTGTGTTGTGCACAAAAGCACATGGTATGCATGATTAAATGAAAAGAACATTCATAACAATATGCTATAATCATGATTTTTGAATGAAGAAAAATAAATATTGTAGTTATTTAAAGTACATGTATGGATTTTAAAATACTAGTGGAAAGTAATTCTAAAAGCATTCTATTATTATATGAAATCTGCAATTGATTGACATGCATTCATAATACACTTTATGTAATGAATGCTAAGCTAGACTTGAAAACATTAAATGCAGTCTTTTACTAGGGCACAAGTGCTTAACACTCAAAAGTCTAGCTATGGGATTTAAATACTGAATAATCATATCTAAGCATGGGATTTGTGTATTATCAATGATTGTCAAATACAACATCTCGTACAATTGTTTTATTATCAAGACCTTTTTTTATGAATGGGTTTTCTCTATTATTTAATCCCTGACACAATCTGATGGTCTGATTTTCATCAGGCTTTGACACTGTATTTTTTTTTTATGTGAAGTACCAATATTGGCAGGAAATAATGAATTTGTTGAGTGACAAATTTGATTAAAAATAAATTCATAAATTCTGTAATTGATCAGTAAAGCATATAGATGGATTTCTTTAACAAGATACTAATTGATTATATAAAAAGTTCAAGTACAAAAATATGAAATTAGAAGTAAGATTTTATTTCTATATGTTTTATCGAGACCAATTTGGGGGCCCTTGAGGGCAAACACACAAAAGAAGAAAGTCAAAATTGATAGCAGCAACATGTCAACATAAAAAAAAGAAAAGGAGTTTAAATACTACATGAACTAAATGATTATCAATGTGCAAGGTAGTATCATTTTATTTAAAATAATACACACAATATATAATTATATGTACCAGCAAAATTATATGCTAGCAGCTACATTTAACGAAATGAATAAAATGATCATAGGGATACAATCATTGACGTTATGATAAATGTGATGAAGTCTACAAGGCTTGAATGATTGGCATTGTTGATCAGAGACTAGTGTATATTTGAATATCTTGATATGTAAGGAGTGAGGGTAAGTGGTAAATTACTAAATTAATGTATAAATCAACCCGGCTTAGTTTTAATTTTCTGTTAAAAGTTTTAGCATTGGTATCTTAATTCATATTTATATTCATATGAAGAGACCCCCCCCCCCCACCCTTATTCTAAAATCCAGTGGTAGAGCTCATCCTTGTTTTGAACAGTAAAGTGGATGTCAAGAATGTGAGGTCAATTTTAAATTACAATTTCAAATCACAGTTTTCTTATAATTTTGAATGATCCACTGGCCGATGAACTGTTCATGCACTCAGATATATTTTCTGCCTTTTAAAATCTATCAGAGACATATGACAGTTAGGTGGATATCGTGTCTCAAATTCTTGTTTTTTGAATGTTAATTAATGTAAAGATGTTGAACAGACTTCATATAATCAAATATCTTCATACTCTTTAAATCTGGAATTATCTAAAATATATCCTTACATTAAGTATTTTATATAATTTATCGTTAATTTTTACAAATCTCTACATCCCTCGCTATAAGACCCTTTTCTGTATGTGAGTGCTTTTTTCTATAACACCAATACAATGTTTAATAATCATAAAGAAAATTCATCCATAAACACCTGATAGATTTCAATTTGAAAACATCCAATACTAACTTCAATTATTGATTATCAAACTTTGATTACCATGGATTCCATTTTTAGACCATCCGAGGGTTTGTTTCATTGTGTGCATTGTACATTGATGTGTTTGTGTGTCTGTGAGTGTAATTTTAATTTGTAAGTTTTATTTTGCTTTGTAAATTTCATGAGTGATTGTATAACCAATGAAAATAACTTTTCACAATTAATTACCTTTAGGTTGAGTTCAGAAAAAATATAATTAATTTAATGATAACTGTATTGTAGACAGCAGAATGAAGGCTAAAAAAGGGAGATGTCGGCTGAGTCCGAACGAAGAGGCTCGGCTAATGAAGGAGGAGACAGAGAAACGACGACGACTCAGGCTTCAGCAGGTCAGATAATGTTAGCTAGGGCAAAAATAACCCTGTATACAGTACATGTACAAAAGTCAGGTCAAGGTGGTGATCATAGACTTGGGCGTAATTAAAAATCAGTTAAAGAGAAAATTTCATTGATAAAATAAAATATACATGTATAGAAGCTAAAGCAGCACTAATAAAAAAGCAGTAATAAAATTTGCCTGTATGTGTAGTGGTATTGGACCATAGATATTGGCCTCTTATAGCTCAGTGGTTAGAGCACCTTATTAGTAATGCAAAGGTCCTGGGTTTGATTCTCTGTCCAGCCATAAATATTCTCTATTTGCTTATATTTGATGTCATTGACCACTCCAGGACTTGCAGGTGAACGTCCTGCCAAAGGCTAAATAATGTAGCTTGTGTCTGCTAGGGCAAAGACAATTGAAGGAGGGAGGAATGTAGTGGTCTGAGACTGTGGATATCAGCCTGGATAGCTCATAACCAATTTAATAAGCTACATGTATTTGCAGATGTTTTACACATATTGCATTTATTATGTGAATTTGTTCAGGTGAGAGAGCAATCTAATCTGAATGCTGCTAGGATCCGCCAGGCTGTCAAACAGGAAAAGAACAGGCAGCTCCAAAAGTTGGCATCCAACCTTCAGGTACAGGTTCTAGTAAAAGTTAGCTCCTATGTTTCAAAGTTTCAACACTGCTCAGAAATCAATTTATTCAGTTTTAATGAGGTTACCATTCCAGTAGTTGCATCTCGGGGGGTATGACTTGTAATTCGCCATTATCCTGCAAAATAAAAAGTCATCCCTCTGCAGGTATTGTTAAGAAGTGGCCTTTAGAATATATGCTAATTAGATGGAGGCTTTACCTGCAGAATTTAAAGGGTGCCCAGATAATACCTGTATTCAATAAGATGTAGATTGAACATAAATGATTGATTTGGTCATGAGGACAAAATCCCAAGGATTATTTAGCACAATGCAGCCATTGAAGAATTAAATGTATTGATATGATAGAGCAGAAATTTTGATAATATATGGACTTGATTTCTGATGGTGTAAATCAGGCATTTTATTTGGCACTTAAAATATTTTGATGGGTGTATACACATGTACCAAGTGTTAAACACCATCTGTTGTATCTGTAGCTAATTTAGAACTTCTTGTGTATATGTTGGAATCAGTGTGAGGTAATTTTTTTTCACAGAATAATCTGGAGAGTGAGAAAGAGGAAAAGATAAGGCATTTGGAGAACCAGTATGAGAACAGTTTACGAAGTATAGGTCAAGGTCACCGGGAAGCCAGTGAACAGGTAGGTCATGTGATGAACTAAAGGTCAAAGGTCAGATGATTTGTATCAATAAAATCTTTGTAAATAGGAAGCTGCATGTGTGTTATAGGAAGCTGCATTTGTGTTAATTATTGAGAAGAGTTCCTAATTTGATATTGTTTTGTTAAAGAAAAAAAGTCAACAGAGTAAGATTTCCAAAAAATATCAGTTTGAAATCCGTCCATGATTATTAATTTTTAATGACTAAGGAAACATTTTACATAAATACAAAAAATGAAACGTGTTTGTGATGAGAAATTCATCCATGAAGGGAGGTAAGAGATAATTCTCTTACTTGAATAAAAGTAAGTTTACAGTGTAAGACTGATGGTTATGGTTTATGTTTGTGCTGTTTACAGGATGTTTACAGTATCTTTAAAAGCATTCTTTGTGCTGTTTACAGGTGAACGTGGAGGAAGAGGGCTATCTTTTACAGCAGGAGTCCAACAGACGAGCAGAAAATCGGTTCAAACAGGCCCTGGAGAAACAGCGACGTGAACAGATGTTCCAGGAGTACGAACAAAAGTACCAGATCATTGCCAGGTATGAACAAATCAAGATGTATGAACAAAAAATACCAGATCATTGCCAGGTATGAACAAATCTAGAAGTATGAACAAAAGTACCAGTCTAATCAATCGTAGCACATGTGATAGAAAACTCCTCCCCAGGTTTTAACATACATAAAAGAAAATTAGAAGGTATAGTCAATATAATAGATTTTATACAAATGTCAAATAACCAATCTGAACTAGTAATTTTCATTTCAGACAAGTAGCCTTAGATGCAGAGAAAGAGAGAGCCAAAAATATAGCTTCTCTACCTCCTCCTCCAAAAGATCCAGTTCTAGATCTGGCTCAACCTGAGAGTAAGTCTGTTAACCAGATTTAAAACCAACACAAACATTTAGGTCACCATGGATCATAAATGTCACTTCTTATATATCTTACATTTACATGTTTTTAAATTTGATTTGCATTTTAATGTTTTTTTTTATGGGGATATTTTACACAGATGTCAGTCTATTAATAAAATCTCCCGTCTTTTGATATGTCATCGTGACAAATCAGCTGACGGGAAATATCTTATTTTAATTAGATTGCTTAAACGTAGGTTTTGTGAAATTAAATTAGGTCATTTAAATATGTTGTGTGAATTTTAATGAGATTGTTAACATGTAAGTTGTGTGAATTTTAATTAGGTCATTTAAATGTATGTTGTGTGAATTTTAATGACATTGTTAACATATGTTTTGTATTAGATTGTTAACATGTATGTTGTATGTTAGATTGTTAACATGTATGTTGTGTATTAGATTGGTAACATATGTTGTATATTAGATTGGTAACATGTATGTTGTATATTAGATTGTTAACATGTATGTTGTGTATTAGATTGGTAACATGTATGTTGTGTGAATTTGAATGAGATTATTAACATGTATGTTGTAGGGAAGTCCGTGAAGATGACAGACATTGATAACTTCACCACGACCCACTACCACATCAAAGAGGAGTACGCTGTGGACAAAGCTAAACCTACAGAACAGGTACTGTAGATTCCTTATTTTTCATACTTATTATCGCGAAATGGCTCTTCAACGTCAAATTGCGAGAACAATAATTCGCGAGTGGACGGTTGATCGAGGAATTTTACATTGATTTCAGCACCATAAAAATTAACGCGGGTAATTTCATTTCGCGAGTGGTGCTTCTCGCGTAATTACGCGATAATTAATTCCTGGCGTATATTTAGGAATCTACAGTAATACCATCAATAATATTTAGGGCTGTCACGAGTACCCGAAATAACCGAGAACCGCGGTCCAAGTTGTTCGGTTCGGTTCCGGTTCCATTTTTCCGGATTTCGGTTCAGGTCTGGTTTATATATTAGAGTCTGTTCAATACAAAAAATGGTGTCGAAATCAAAGAAATGATGACGATAACAGTGATAAATAAACATCACAACTGAAATCTACTTCATTCCATGACAAATCACTTGTCACGGAAGTATTAGATAATTATCAAAACGAGCAGGAATGGTCAGGTTGTGGCTAATAGTAGGCCAAGTCACTGATGTCTAGACGTTCGCATGGTTAAGACTTGTTTTCAATGGAAATTTAATGTAACAAATAAAGATTTTTCAAGTTAAATTCATGAAATTAAGGTTTATAGTAAATGTAAATACCCGACCCGAAAAACCCGAAACCGAACCGAAAATTTACAGAACCGAACCGACCCGAAAAATTTTGGAACCGTGACAGCCCTAATAATATTCTGTATGTAACAGGACAGGTAATACCATCAATGATATTCTGTATGTAACAGAACATGGCAAGAAACATTGAGACAATGCACACAATACACAATGACACAATACAGGCTATCAAGTCCATTTACAGCAAAAAGCAAGCATACATTCAAAGATGTTAGAAATGTACAGTCTTATCCAGAATTTAAAATTGCCAATTGAACAAAAAGAATAACACAGGGAATTGACAGGCTATGTTTTTTAACATATCAGAACCTTCGGAATCTTGAATACTCATATCTAGAATACCATGGATATATCGAAGTGATTTGGAAGTTCCAACCACTTTAAGTATTTTACCCTCGATATCTTGAATTCTCAGATATCTCAAAGTTTTTCCTTGGTCCCATCAAGTTTGAGATAATGAAGTTCGACCGTACTTACAAAGCTTTCATAAAAACAAGTTCTGTAAAGAAATTTTAATTTTTTAGGAAGATGCTAGGAAAGCAGCAGAGGAGGAGGAACTAAGGACAAAAGAAATGGACCTGGAAATGGTCCGTCTCCATAACGACCGCCTGTCCAGGGCCAGAGTGAGGCACAATAATGCCCTAGAGAAAGAGCTTCTCTCTCATGTAAGATTAAAGACTTAAGTATTCTTAAACTCTAAAAATTATCTGCATTAAGAAATCATTGAAAAAAATATTTGATGCCCTCTCAATGATATAATGATCATTTGATCATATTTTATTTTAAACAATATGAGTGACAGAGGTTGATTAAAAGTTTCAGAACTTAGGTAGTTCTTAACATTCATTACTAATGTTTGGTATAAAATATTAAGGATGTGAACTAATTTCTTTAATTTTGTAATAATGTAGGACTACAACCAGATTTTACATGACCTCAGTGACCTCCAGAGAGCGGACCGAGACAGGAGACAGAAGGTGGTGGCTAATATCCCAGTAAGTGTCCATAGAGATGAGTATTAGGGCTTAATTATTCCGTTTTAGTACAGGGTCCTGTACTCTTTCAAGAGGGAATTTTTAATCAAAAAAGTGGCAAATAAAACAGTAATGGATAATAATTAAACCAAGGCATGAGTAGGGCTAAAAGTTTTAAAAAAAAAAAAATCCTTAAGGAAAAGATACTAAGAGGCTCTTTTTAAGGCTTTTCTATTTTGTGTCATTTTCAATCATTTTTATGTCCATGATTTCAAAAAGAATGCTCAGTATAAAACTAAAGAAATGCCTCCTTGTGGTAAAATAAAGATTTGTGATTTTGCCTTTATTGGGAAACTGGTTTAAATGATTTGTAAACAAAAGAATGTTGGTCTCTATTTTTGAATTTAGGGATGATAATTTGGAAATGGTTTACCTTTTTTTCAATCAAAACAATGGTAATCAATTAGAAAATCTGTAATCAGTTAGTTGAAGAAAGAAAAAATATGTAGATTTAAATGGAATTTCCTTAAAATTCAATTAAAAAATGGAAGAACATCAGTGTTTTCTCATCTTTTTAAGCTGATTTGGAAGCAATTAAGGCTCTTCGGATTGAGATGGGGGGGGGGGGGATTGGTCAGTTTGGGAAGTGTTTAAAATTACCGTTTAAACACTTTTTCCTTATCCAGCCTGTCACATATTTCTTTTTTTGATAATAATTAAATCACCATTTATTACTGTGAACAGTTATAATGCATATCTTACCGAGTTTATCCTTTGCAGTTATCTATCAAATTACTGTATATTACGAAACAAAGATTGCAATTTAAGTGATAGTTTCGGACTTAGTTCAGATTTATGGTGACAATGCAGAATGATCTTGTGTGACATCTGGTCTGAGAAATTATCAATCTGTCTGATATCTCAGGAATGTTCATGGTTTTCTTTTTTTGATATTTTTGCCTATTGAAACTGAAATACAATACATGTATGTACCGGTATATTAAATAGTTTTATGATCGGGCAAAAGCAGGATATTCTTAACATTTTTTTAGTCTACTTTTAAAGCTTAATTAAAAATATGTCAACGAAATGTGAATTTTGATATGATAAAGTGATTAATCAGTCGGAATGTTTTGCAGTTAACTGATTACAATTCTGTATTTGATTTCCATCCCTACTAAAATTTAACAAGTACATCTATTTCATTAAAGGAGGAGACCTTTTTTTTGTCTGTTTCAGAAGCAGGTATTCGAGCCCCCACATCGGAGACTGGAGGACAAAGATGAACGACAGAAGAACATGGAGGAGGCATTTGAGGACATGTACATGGCCGACACAAGTATGAGAAGCAGATTTCTGTATTGAGTGTTAATCATTAAAACTTTCCTGTACACCTGATCCTTCTGTTTTCTTTGCTTCTACAAATGATTTAAAGAGAGTTGCAGTTCAATTAATGATCTGTGTTTTTTAACAAACAATGGATGCAAATTTGGAAAGGAATTTTTTTTTTCCTGGTGAATTTTTTTTTGTGGTATGACAATAGATTTAACTCTATTTTTTATTTATTAAGTTTTTTTTTTTATGTATTTTGAATGTTTTCAAATAAATTTTTGCTTTTTTTTTATCCCCATTAATTGTCAAAAGAAGTAAAGTAGAAAACTCGAAGAATTTCAAAAATCTTTAAATTTTATAGAGATGTTCAATGAAGCTTAAAACACTTCCTTGATATCTAGATTACATGGGTGACCTGAGTCTTGCTCTTGACCCCCATCCTCCCCTAGACACTCCCTCAGCCACAGAGTCCCTTGAGGCATCAGTCCTGACAGACACAACTACCCCCTTACAGCAACCCCCTGTCTCCAGGGTCCCGACCATACTAAAGGATACCTCCAACATACAGAAATCCCAGGATGACATCAGTGTTCAGAAACAGCCAGGTAAGAATTATTGATACCTGTCTAAAACAAAAACTTATCAGAACAATATCCTTGTACAGAAGAAGCAAGGTACTATAAAATTTAATAAGTTTTTAGTAGCCAGAACTTTATTTTCGCATATTTATTCAATACAGTCTATTCACAAAAAAATCATTCTCGCATCGGTTTGTATTAAGGTTCATCACTATTTGATAAGAGAGATAACTCTGTCTGGGGCAGATGGTTATTATTCCTTTATACAATCATGTAAAACTGTCAGGATAAAAGACAACAATTTCTGTCAAATTTTGCCCTGCAAGATATGTTGAAATTGCTTGCATTAGAATTATAAATTAGATTTCTTCTGGAAAAATATGAGCGGTAAAGCAGAATTTTACATGAGTGAGCAGAGGGATGTTGAACCTTAAGGTTATGACAGGAAGATTGAAATTCTGAATTGAGTTTATATACTGTTTAAAACAGAGAAAGTTCTGAAGAAACTGATGGACAGAATCAAGTCCCAGAGACAGGAATGGATGTCTAAATCCATGCAGGAGGTTCCTAATGGAGGTGCATCCATGACAACCAAACCCGCCCAGGCATCCCCAGGGAAGAGCACAGGTAAACACTGATTTTATGTGATAAGGAAAAAAATGGGGAGACAGTTACCAGCGGAAACTTACCATAGAAACTCTGTTTGTAAAATGTTTGCAGCAATCAAACTTTTAGTGAATTAATACGGGGGGGGGGGGGGGGGGGGGGGGGGGCTCTCAAAAATTATTGTCAACAGCAAAGTCTAAAATTCAGTCTGTTTAATGATAGAATTTATGTTATCTATTATGGCATACTTCACTACTTGTAAATGAAATCCTTGCACTCTAACAGCACCAAAGTTAACCTTCTATATGGTGTCCATAGATAACTGATTGCACAGTAACCAATAACTGATTATACAGTAACCAGAAGGGTGCAGTCTGTAATTTAGAGCTGTAAATGATATATATTTTTGTTCATTAGCTGCCACCCTCTCTGAGTACTCCCTGTCAGAACAAGGCTCACCAGGCACTGAGAATGTAGAACCTGTCAAAGTCATTCAACCAGAAAAGTTACCACGGCAACAAATATATCACTATCCCCAGGAGAGGTCAAGGCCAGGACAGAGGGAATCAGCAAATCAGGTATTTAACCTAATGAACGTTTTATGGATTTTATACTATATTTCATCATACTGTAGTTCACATACTATGCTCTTTTTTATGCACCCATTTCTAATGACATACATTGTACATGTATATCATCAGTTGTTATGATGTTTTATTTTATATTCCAACAAATTTCTATTTCAAATACATGTACAATGAAAAAATCTTAAAAGTTTCATTCTTCGAAGTCCAGTTACAAAACGTAGGTTTATTATGTTGCAATGTACACATATGAAATCTACTTATATATATAAAATGCTTACTTTCAAAATTGTTGCAGGTTATGGAGCCGGTGTTTGGTGGCCAGAATGTCCGTTCCGTAGAAGATGTCTTGGAACAACAGAGGGAAATAGAGTAAGCTGGATTTTTTTCAGTTTGGAAGAAGTGTAGAAATTTGGTGTTTTATATGGAATAAATAAGTTTATTTAACATGTATTGCACTTATTGGAAGAATACTTTTATTTACATATGTAATCTGCAGTACACTTATTCTACTATTAAATATATGTATACCTTGAAGTACTTTTATTTACATGTACTTTGTATATGAAATCTGCAGTATGTTTATTCTAATTTTAAATACATGTATATGAAATTTCTGAAATACTAGTTTTATTAGAAGTTTTTGGTGTTAATACAAATTTGTTTTAATAGACCACTGTTAGATTTAATGGTCATTGGTTCACATGCAGCGTAAGTATGGGTGATAATTATAAGAAGATTTTTACAATAGATACTGTAGAATTTTTGAAAGTTTTTTAAGCACTTTATTTTTTTCCCCACTCAGATCCTATAGCTTTTGTCACAAAACACTAGTGTTTGCAGTCATGTAAAGAATTGAACATATCAAAGAGCTTTTAAGATTAAAAAAGGTGTGACCTGCATTTTTTGATTTAACTCATTATTATATTGAGTAAATTTAACATTTGCACATCATATTGTAAAGAGAGTGAGGCACACACTAATATTTTTTTTTACTTTTAGATTACCATTCCTTTCTTTGTAATGATATTGAAATTTCTGTACTATAGATTCCATATACCATCTATACAGAAATCAAAATTTTGAATAAAACAAGGCATTCTAATTCCCTCTTTTTTATAAAGTACTGTAAACCAACTATTATTCACATCAACTTTTATTTGCGACTTGTCATTTTGAAATCAATCTGCGACGATTAATATTCGCTACTGAGGAAACACTCTCTACAAATACAACCCCAAATAAATGGTTCGCAGCGAGTAATATTTGCGAGTTAAAGTAGGTTGCGAAATGAAAGTTGGTTTACAGTATCTTATGGAAGAAATAGTGGTTTTCTAAGACAATAATTTGGATGAATTTTTTACAGGGAACAGAAGAGACAGCTTGAGAAGAAGCTCCAGGAACTGAACAGAAGACAACAACAGCTCAACACTTCTGTTGGAGGGAACATTTCACCAAGATATGACCAGGAAAACATCACAGTTAATGGCCAAGTTTATCAGCAACAACAAGGAATGAAGGCCCCATCATCATCCTCTGGATATCCACAGAATAGCCAAGTCCCTCAGCCACAGTACACCTCTGTACCCCAGCCAGTTCAGAATGGGCAGTCATTAAGTGAAGTAAAACAGACATCTCAAGGGTATAATTTTCCACCAGCAAGTGGGCCACCCTTAATGAATGGGCAGACAACTCTTAATGGGCAAATGTGGGCAGAACCACCTCAGTCCATTCGTTCTCAGGTATCCATGGCATCAGTCTCCTCTCACAGTTGGGTGGAGCCTCCCTCTCTTTCTCAGTATACCATTCCATCAAGTTCATCCATTCCAAATGCTCAGACAGCCCCACCATTTTCATATTTTTCTGCACCCTCTGTTACAACTACTGCTTCCATCCAACCTCACGTGAGTGCTAGTCAGCCAGCCATGGCTCGTTCAGGGGCACCTGGAACATTCATTACCCCTTCACTGCCAATTCCCTCCACAATCTCAATGACTGTGCCAACACAGTCACAGCTACAAGCAGAACACATGAGGAAAGTGAAAGAATACCAGCAACAACTTCTACTCAAGCATGAACAGAGTAAGAGGGTCCTGGCGCAGACCAGGGCAGAAATTGAAAGACGAAGACAAGAGCTTCTTCAAAGGTTTCCTCAGTTGGAGTTCAAGTCTCCAGTGGATGGCTCTGCAAAGCAGGCAGAAAATGGATTCAGTGAAGGTGTTCAAGTAACCAGTCAAGGAGAACCTAAGCTTCTAACCTCAAAAACTCTCTCTCCAAACAAGGCTGCCATGACATCCCTTCTATCTCAGTTAGCAAGTAATCCATACTACTCTGCCAGACTCTCTGGACCAGCAGAAGAACAGCAACCCCCAGAAGCCAAAACAGAGAACGGAAAAAATAAATTTCAAAAAGTGAGGAAATCTCTGCCCTTTGATGCTGATGATACAATCCACGAGACACCAGGGAAACCAGGAAGATCCCCACTCTACCAACCAAGCCCAGGCTCAACCACTGCTAATGAAACCACAGATCTGAATGATACTACCATGTCTTCTTCCACAGAGAGGGGGAGTCCGGCATTACCGGGAAGGAGATCTGGTTCCACCACCGCCGAGTCGGACCTCTCCCTGCTCAGCACTGCCAGAGAGAGAAATGACATCTTTGAGCAGAGGCAGCTGGAGTTGAGGCGGCAGTTAGAGGCCATACAGAGACAGAAGGAAGAGATTCTACAGCGCCACCAGGTGGTGCGGGGACAGCTGCCACCTCAACAGCTGTCACCGCCAAAAGATCCTCTTCTAGACTCAGAGGGTAAGTACTGTAAAATCATATTTTCATGGGGTCAAATTTTCATGGTTTGAGGAAAAAATAATTGGTTCGTTGGGATTTGATTTCATGGCTGAAGAAGTGCTAAGTTGTTACTGGTATTTATTTGAAATTTTACATTTCTTGGAGGACATGAATTCTTGGGCATTCGTAGACATGAATTAAACCCCACAAAAATTAGTGATTTCACAGTATCTGGATTCTAATTCTTTTCCTCTAAAAAAAATTTTTAGAGAATTTTTTTATTTTTAAACATTGTATGCTTTGTTTACTTGGATCTAAATAAGAAAATTCAAAATTATATTTGCAGAAGATTCTTCAGAAGTAGAGTTCTCTGACGACCAGTCACCCATGGCAGATAAACCAAGTCAAAGGTTAGCCCCTCCCAATAAAATGGCAACACTACTAGGAGACCACAGGCCTCATGAACTAAGTACTATTCAAGTAAGTCCTTTAAATTGCATACGAGAATTTATCAGCATATGTAACTTGTCTTTAAAAGTGTGTGTTAATTTTTGTATTTAAGGTTTTGTACATTTTATGTTATTATTATGACATTAATAATTTGGTTTGTAGGAGATAGAAACATCCCCCTCTAGTGCTAGACATTCTGGAGTCACGGCATCCAGTCGCCACAGCCTGTCCTCCACTGAGAGGAGCTCTATAGAAAGCAATCAGCCACCACCTCGTGTGGAACCAGCAATCACACCGACAGACAGACGGACAGCTGATGACATGGGGTATAAGACGGCACAGCTGAATGAGGTGATGGCCAGAGCATCCGAGTTCTCCCCAGGGGTACTGGACAGGCTGAAGCAGAAAACCAATGATGTGTTTTATAATCTGAAGGAGGAAGACTCTGAAGACTCGTATAAGATGATGAACTACACACCCAACTCACTCTCTACTGGTAAAAAGCTTCATATGTGCACAAGTACTCTGTATATTTCCTATTATAAATGCAGCATTATACTGGAAGTTCTCGCCAAATAAGTTATTTAAGAAATAGTATTTGTTTTAATTTTGTTAAAAATTTGGAAAATTTTGATAAAGTTATCTTCAGATATCATAGAATTTTATAATTTGTAGTAAAGAATAGCTTCTTTTATTTTTCAACTTAAAAATTTGTCATGTTTAATAAATAAATATATTCTCGTTTTTAGGAGCTTTGGAAGAACTGAATGCATCTTCTACTCTCTCTACAACTCCTGGATCAATCTCCATGGTAACACCTGGCTCAGAAAAATTGTCAGGAGTTCAGACTCAAGCTGCCAAAACCCAAAGTGACAGCACAGACGGGTCACTCCGAAGTTCTAAATCTTGGGCAGACGAACTTGTGTCGTTTCATAAACTTCAACCCGAGAGAGCTTCTGTTGAATCGAATTCAAGGTCAGTTAAGGAGTCTGTGGACAGCAGTGTGGCTGACAATGCTCCACACACGGCACCAGTGGACAGGAGTTACAATGTCGTTCACATGAGGCAGGGAAAAGTTTCTCTAGAATTCGTCAAAGTTGGCTCAGACATGGATCTGTCACAGTACCCAATATCTGAGTCCAGCGATAAATCCGACCGAGGTGGTGTGTCCCCTGCTGGCAGACTGGAGTCAGAGCTTTCCCAGTATCCAATCTCCTCGGAGGTCTCCCCAAGCAGTCAAGACAATGGCAGATACAACAGAGTATCTCCACACGAAAAGGACAGTGAACTTAATCCAGCAAGTCTAGCATCTACATCTGAGAGTACCAGCAGCTACTTGGATTTAAAAATGGACAATAGCACTATGGGAACTAGGGAGTTTGATTTTATTGGACAAAGTCGAGTTCAGATTATACCCGATAACACTTCAGGGGAATTCATTTCTCCGGAGGCTCATCCTTATGATGTCAGTGGTAAAGTAGACTATGCCAGTACACCCAATTATAAATCAGTGCAACCATCCACAAAGAGACTGTCTCAAATATCACAGTTCACGGCTTCTCCAGAAGAGACAGAAATCCAGGCGGGATCATCCACATTCCCCCGGTCAGAGGGACAGTTCCGAGCTCTCTCTCTTCACATGGATGACTCTGAACATCAGTCTCCAGCCCAGCCTTTGGTCTTCACCAAGGTCTCGGGTCACGGTGGCCTCTCTCGGGTCTCAGAGGTGGGAGAGAGTCAAACATCAGACCAGAGTAACAGGTCAGATTATAATCTTCTGTCCAAGCTTCCTGATGAGTCCTCTCTCAGTCAGTTTACAGTGACCACTACTGACCAGTCTTCCAAGGATGACCTCTCCTTGACCCAGATAACAGTGAATACAGACTATCCATCAAAAGCATTGGGATCCTTGACCCAGTTTTCATTCAAGTCCAGTCCTGATGTCCATGCTAAAACTGATTCTTCCCTGAGTCAGTACAGCGTTGATAGTCCTGGGGCACATAGTTTGTCTGATAAATCGGGAAAAAACACCTCATCTTCCTTGAGCCAAGGAGAAGAGGATGAGAGTTTCGTGGCACAGAAGTTTGCTAACTTAGAGCAATTAATGCAAGAGTCACGAGACTTAATTACCAAACATAAACAGCTTATTACAAAGAATAGGGAGATTAGTCCATCAGGTTCAGGGGGTGTGTCTAGTGTTTTAACCACTCCAGAGAGCCAGATTGAGGCTGCTCCAGATAGTTTCGCCGTGAAGCAGACATATCCTGCTGAAATTGAGAGCCAAGTGGAACTCAGTGCTGACAATCATCCAAGTTACCTGGAGAGCAGCAGTTTTCAACAGGTATTTCTTTCTGAGAAAAAATATTTATGGAAAAATACTTGACTAAAAAAATTCTTTCAATTCTTTTGAATTTTCCAGACAGTGGAACAGAAATAGAAAATGCTTGCCCAATTCAACAATGATCAGATTTGCAGAACTTAATCTCACTGTGCATTCATTTTGTGGAAAAGACGTCAATTGTATGAGTACACATTTATGTTCATAGTGATAAGCAACTCTAACCTATTCTGTTATATTGTAAACAGTTGACAATGGAAAGTGGTATCATGGATGAACCTGATTTGACCTTGCTGTCCGTGACCTCTGACATTGCCGGACAGGACAACACAGAGGACATGACAGGGGAAATAACTCATCGGTCAGATGGAACCAGTGGGGGAGACTCAATCTTGTCTTTCGAGCAACACGAGCAAAGTTTACGGAGTTCTCCAGACAGAGAACTCAGTGAGAGCTACTTCCAAGATTTAGCAGGTAAATTTCCTAAGTGATTGTATAAATATTCATGTGGCATACAAAGTTTGCCTGATAATGGACAGTAAATAATTTTGCATTTACTTTGAAATTTGCTGACTGTTTCAAATTTAATTATTTATGGAAATAATTGATGGCATTTCATGAGTTTTTCAAGTATTGAATGCAGTTTTAATCTGAAAATAAATTTCCTATTTAATTTTAGGAAGAATCAGAGGTAATAGTGCACAAGCACTGATGATCATGTGGTGCACAAGCACTGATGATCATGTGGTGCACAAGCACTGATGATCATGTGATTTCTTGGGATCAGTTCAAACTAAACATCACTGGTTAACACATTACGTCATTGTTCACTTGATCCGGCATTTTCTAGATGTTGTTTGTTTTGTACAGGTCACCAGTTTGTCATGCATGTAACACAAAATTCTAAGCCATCAGGAGTTTGTGGGTGTTTTCTTTGCTTACCTCTTCAGATTTAGGTCTGAGGATTTATTCATGCTGAATGATATTGCCATGACCTGAAATGCTTTTGAATTTCAATGATTGATTTTAGACTTAAAGAAATAAGCAACAACTTGTCAAACTGGACAGTATCATGAAGTCGAGCAGTACATTACATGTTACTACTTCACTCATGAAGGAATGCTGAAATTTTGTCTCCCCTTCATATTTATAAAAGACATATTGTTTTTATAAGATTTCTTCTTATTATTCTTCTTCAACTAAGTTTTGTCTGGACCATAACTTAATAACCCATTGACATTAAGATTGCAAACTTGGAGCATGAAAATTTGATAATGTCTTATATTTCTGATTCTAGTACCCCGAACCAATGACAACAACAGTGCCTCTCGACCTGTGGTCCCAGTACAGAGAGATGCTGGGGACGAGAATGTCTTCAGAGCTGTCCCAGTTATGGTGAGCCCCACTCTCTCCCTCTCCATGAAGTTCAGCAGCTCTGATATCAAGGTCAACAAACCCCCTGTATCCTGGTCAAAAGAGCCCGAGGAAAGTGATAGTAAATCGGACCAAAAACCCAAACGCAAATCAGACCCTCTGATCAGTAAGGTCCAAGAGCAGAAGTCCGAGCTTGAGAAAACAGCCAAAGAGGCCAAACAGCAGGTACAGAAATCCTCAGGACTAAATAAGGCCCTACAACCCCGGGGTGGGGGATCAGGGGCACCTGCTCAAGGGAAAACGGTGACCAAGTCCAGTAAAGACAGCAGTAAGCCTATCAGTTTGGGTCAGTTCATCAGCTCTAGGAAGGAGGGCTCTACACTGATGGGGAAGAAATCGGATAATAAACCCGTCCCGCTGCCAAAACCCCAGAGACCCGGGACAGGGACCGTGAATGGAGGGACTGGTATGTCTAAAACCCTGTCCTCCTGGAAAAAGAGTAGAGGAATCAAGTCCACAGGTAAACATATAGCATACAGGTACATGTATACATAAACTTACAGATGAAAGTCGAGGATTGTTATATTTAGTTTTGATTTGATGTTATTTTATTTTGAACATGCCCTTACATTAAAAGCAGTGAAATATTCTGTAAAACCACATCTCCTTTTTAGCTCTACTGGTCAGAGACCAGAAGAGCTTATGCGATAGTAAGGTGTCCGTCGTCCGTCCGTCTGTCTGTCTGTCTGTCTGTCCGTCTGTAAACAATTTTTCAAAATGCTACTCCTCCTACAGTTTTGGTCTGATTTCAGTATAACTTGGCACACAAGTAGACTACACTAAGATACATAATTCTGTGTATCGGTTTTTGATTTCGATGAACTGTGTTGCCATGGTTACTAAAAATAGAAATTTCTGTGAAAAACATTCAAAATGCTACTCCTCCTACAGTTTTGGTCTGATTTCAATATAACTTGGCACACAAGTAGACTATACTAAGATACATAATTCTGTATATCGGTTTTTGATTTCGATGAACGTTGTTGCCATGGTTACTAAAAATAGAAATTTCTGTGAAAAACATTCAAAATGCTACTCCTCCTACAGTTTTGATCTGATTTCAATATAAATTGGCACACAAGTAGACTATACTAAGATACATAATTCTGTTTATCGGTTTTTGATTTCGATGAACGGTGTTGCCATGGTTACTAAAAATAGAAATTTCTGTGAAATACTTTCAAAATGCTACTTCTCCTACAGTTTTGATCTGATTTCAATATAACTTTGCACACAAGTAGACTATACTAAGATACATAATTCTGTGTATCGGTTTTTGATTTCAATGAACGATGTTGCCATGGTTACTAAAAATAGAAATTTCTGTGAAATACATTCAAAATGCTACTCCTCCTACAGTTTTGATCTGATTTCAATATAACTTGGCACACAAGTAGACTATAATAAGATACATAATTCTGTTTATCAGTTTTTGATTTCTATGAACAGTGTTGCCATGGTTACTAAAAATAGAAATTTCTGTGAAATACTTTCAAAATGCTACTCCTCCTACAGTTTTGATCTGATTTCAATATAACTTGGCAAACAAGTAGACTACACTAAGATACATAATTCTTTGTATTGATTTTCTGATTTCTATGAACATTGTTGCCAAGGTTACTAAAAATAGAAATTTTCTTGAAATACTTTCAAAACGCTACTCCTCCTACATTTTTTGTCTGATTTCAGTATAACTTGGCATACAAGTAGACTACAGAGATACATAATTGGTGTTATTGTTTTTTGATTTTGTTGAATGATGTTGCCATGGTTACTTAAATCAAAATTTCTGTAAAATTGTTTTAAAAGGCTACTCCTCCTACAGTTTTAGTCTGATATAATAATAAATCTTGCCACAAAAGAGACTAAACCAAGGATCATTATTCTGTTTATTGCTGTTGCAAAGTTTCAAGTCCAAGTGCTACTTTTATCTTCCTTTATAAATACAACCAGTAGAGCTACAGTCTCGTCAGAGACTTCTGGTTAACTACTTTATCAATTTATTCATTCATACATCTATATGCAATTTTCTTTCAAGAATCTTTGTGTCAGGTGATCTGCATTAACTCTCCTATATTTGTAAAATGCTTCAAGGTTTGTCATACAGGAGGGAAAATTGGTTTTCAGACATGTAAAATTTAAAGTGAACATGTCATCAACTTAAATTTGTAATTAATATTTTTTTTTTGGCTAATTTAGTCTCTTTAATAATGAACTTTGGTGATTTATTGTAGTTCCACCTCCCACCAAGTCCAATGATCTACCCTCCTCCTCTTCCAAATCCTTCCCCTCCCAGAGGCCGGTCACCTCCCACAGCTCAGAGGATAGGATGTATGAACGGAATGTCAGGTAAATAGTGTGTCCCCCGTGTTTGAATTTCTACAACTGTTTGTGTAGATACCCGTGTGAAGGCTAATTACACCAAATCACCATGTCACTAGGCTGGCTGGGTGTGTTCACAGTCACTACAAAATAAGCTACACTTCTCAGTAACTCTCAGATTCCCGTTCAGTTTGGATTAAAATGCTATATATTGGTATTCAAAAGTATCAAAGATAACAAATTCAAATATTCAGTATCAGTATAATTATTTTTTTAAAAGTGGCTCCTCTAATTTACACATTTTTTTTGTAAATGTAATTTTAGTAGCATGATATGTTAAGCAACTTTGGTTTTGTATTGAGAAAAGTGAGAAGTGTATCTTGTTTTAATGATTGAATTGCTAAGTATGTAGTCAATGGAGTATAGCTTTATTTGGGGTTAAGTAGAGACCGGGGTATATCATGGTATCTTAGAAAAAATCATGTATCATATACATATATCATATTTGTACATTGTATCATACACATGTATCATGTGTTAACCATAGGACATTGATTGTATTGCATGTACATAAACATGTAATCTGTACTTGTTGTCAATCAAAATATTGTACACAACTTCAGAGTTTCTCTTTTCAAAATTTGTCTCTGTAAGCAGAAAAAAAATTTGTTTAGGCTAAAACATGTACTGGGGTGAAATTTAAAGGAAATCTTATTTACTGCAAACAAAGTTGTAGCGTCACCAGGTTAATGAATATCAGTCAATATATCTAGTCTCCAAAGCTCAGCGGTTAGAGTGCTGGCACTGTACACCAGAGGCCCTGGGTTTGAGTCCTGGTTGAGACTTGATTTTTCACCACCTGGTACATTAGTAAATAATTTATTTAATTTTCCAGAGAGATGGAGGAATTATTTTTAATCAAGTTTGACTATCATAAATCTTTTATCTGTATTATGTTTTGCTGATCTCTGAAGTTGTGTTAGGGGGTTTTGCATGTTGTGTATTGTAAGTGGAAGGTATTAAAAGACAGACATTTTGATCAGTACGCTTTGTATATTGAAATTTTCATATTCTTAAGAAGTGATTTACCATGTAAATAGATGGTCTGTAAATATTTCAATTGGTCTGCTCTTATCAATAGCTTCATGCATCAAAATGTCTGTTAGAATCTCACCTACATAACTAGTCACCGTGTGTGTGTGTGTGAATTCACCCTTTGTGCTGCTAAGACAGAACCTTTAATACATCACCATGAATGCAACAACTTTTTGACTGTCTGAATTTAATGGTAATGAACAGGTAGCTACATCAGAAACTTTATTTAATGAACTGTTTTACACAGAATTTATGATTGGTACATACCAAATTTGACCAAGTTTCTGTTACTGTAGATCACTAAATTTTCATGACACCATATTTTTGTGAGATTGACATTGTTTTGTGTTCATAAGCAAAACAAAATTTTCATGAATTCTGGTTATTGCTCTGTGTAATTGTTACTAGTAGAATTAAACGTGAGAATGAAATTTTCATGAACAGATGGACTCGCATAATTACATGAAAATAAAGGTCTACAAATAAAAAGTGATTTACAGTACTTCAACACAGACAGTTAATTACCATGTTCAGTGAGTCACCAGGAGGCTGTCCTCATGGTGATAGTCTAAAGGTTCTGATTAAATTCACAAAAACCCACATCAATAAAACGAGATAAAATACAATCAACAAACAGTTAAATATGTGTATGCCTCAAGCTTTTTCTGCTAAAAAACATTGTTTTGGCTTGAATATATTTATACATATCAGGTATATATTTCTAATGATTAATTAATGCTTTTTAACAAAACAGTGTAATTAAAAATCAAATATATTGCATATGCATGTACTTAAAGGTCGACACTTAATCATGCGAAGACCTGTATCATATCTTAAGAAGAGAAAGCCTAATTTTGTTGATTAGGAGCAACCTAAATTTAACTCACATGGAGAAAAAAAGCTAATTTATTTTCACAAAGAAATTAATTCATCAGTTCATGCAAAAAAAAAAATCTCACAAAGAAAATAATTCATTAGACCAGCTGCATGGTGTTGGGGCTTGTACGTAGATAGTGCCCTGCTACAAGTGTTGTGTGATCTTGAAGCCTTTGGAAACTGCTGATTTCTGATCAAAGTCTGGCTTTAAAATGCTCATTTCTGGCTATAACTGATCTAAAGCTCCCAAATCTAGCTTTATATTTTGGATATTTTCTGGTTCTGAAATTAAGTCTACATACACTAAATGACTTCATTCCTACATCATTTTTCCATCTTTTATTATGATTAACTGGTGATGGCTAGAAGTACATGTATATATAAATTGCTAGATCTTTCATTATGCTAATTAATTATATTCAAAGAATTGAAAATGTGAAATTCTTAATTAATGAAGTTGCTGCCTCTGTTGTATTATATTACATCTTATATATATTCAATCTTTCAAGATCTGCCTTGTTCATAATTACATGTACCAATATGTTTGCCTGTTGTGTAATCTGTATATAAAAGGCATGCTACATGTATTGACTCCATCTATATATTTGTTAGTTTCATGCATAGTATGTCACAGATTGGTAACCCCACAGTAATACAAATTTTTAGTGTAAAGAAAACTTCTATAAAAATCTGTAAACCTTGAGTTGGCAATGTTTGTAGTTACCTTATCTAACAACTTGAGAGATTAAATTATATGATGCTCAATTGCTGTCTGAGAAAAATTGCTGCTTACTGGCAACTTCTCTAGAGCCTTCAGCAAATTTAACCACAACAATTACCCAAAGCATACTTTGGGAGTAAGGATCTATCACTAAATAGAAAGGACATCTTCCTTATAAGAAGAATTAATGGGGGGAAAAATTATATATACTGGTAAAAGAATTTTTCAAAATCATCCATTTTGTAGAATTATTTGAACTGAAAGGTTAGATTCAAGTTTGACTTGCATTCCAAAAGGTTTCCAGATTGGGTTTACAAGTAGGGTTACATGACTTCAAGTTTTAATTTTGTGGGGGTGGGGGGTCTTTCTGTCACAAATGTCTAGGCAATTTTTTTTTTCAAGTTGTACACATCTTATAGGATAGATTTAAATATCTTTACATTGCTCTCATTGGAATAAAAAAAGATTTTTGTAAGATATTTCAATTTTCTCAAGAACAGAAAGCATTTCAAGTTGATTTAATGCAAGCATCCTCATATATAATGAGAATTCAGATATTTATATTTTCAATAATAGAAATTTTTAAGATAAAAAATAATATACAAAACAAACTGGATCTACTTTTGGTGATCAGTGTACATTTTTATAAGACAATACCTTACACCTCATGTGTTTGTCATCTGTCTAACAAACATAGTGGTTTATCAAAATTACATGTACCTACACAAATTTAATGAATTCACATACTGAAGTGACTGAGACTTTTCAAAGTTTTGAAATTTTGCACAATTACAATAATTTTCTTAATTTGAACACAGATTAATAACTGGATTGAATTTCATTTAAAAAAAATGTTTTTTCCAAATAATTACACTATGTGTTGGTGAGATTTTGGTTTTGTACAATGTCACATGATGTTAATCTTCAGCCAGTCAAACTGAAGATAAAATGTTGCATTGTGGGAACCAGTGTTCCTGCCTTCCACTTACATGTGGGGTTTTCATGCCATTTCTTTTTCTTTCATTAATTATCATAGGGCATACAATCCTCGATTGTTTAGGTTACAAAATAAAATTGCCCACCAAGAGAACCAGATGTCAAAATCGGAGGATGATCACAAACAGAAATCCTCTTCCCACACAGAAAAAGTCAAGGAGTTCCAAAAGGTGAGCAGTCTAATATCAGTAAAGTACCTGTAATCCTCATAGAAGCATTGTTCTGTCATGTTATGTGTCCTTTGTGTTGAAGTTTGTTTTTTGTTTGTAGCTGCTGGCCATCAAAAAAATTTAATATACATGTATATCATGTACATTGTTTCTCATATACATGTATCATGAATGAAACATCTTTGGAAATTATCATCTATTCATTTTCAATACAATTTTTATAGGGGTATAAGGTATCCACAAGGGTATGAATAATGGACCAAATCTCTTTATTCCTTCTATATTTTCTTCTTCAGACATAGACATTAGTTCTACAGTGTTAAACATAGGATGCAATGCATGCCAATATCCCACTGTGCAAATAATTTTTGCTACAACTTGGCCTGCCCCTCTCCAATATTTTTCAGTTCACATTTTTGTGTGTATCTTCCCATGTATTGAAATTAAACAATTTCCTTTCCAATATAATTATGTAAGCTAATTAAAACCAGTTGTTTGTTGTGCAAATTATTACTTTGGGTTTGAGAGTGCACTGAAATAAATCTGGAACCCTTTGAGCCTGCAGGGTCATAAGTCTTACCAATCCCCTAACTAACTTTTGGAAAGCAAGCTAGATTCTCTGAGGGTATAAAAAAGAATATAATTATATACTAAACCTGAGCATTAGTAAGATTTTATGAAATGTAATAAAATGTACCAGCAAGCTACTAAAACTTAAGATTTTTGGTTTTGTTCTCTTCAGCTTCCCGATAACTTCCATTCTCTCTTCATTATCGATCTCCAAAAGCTAGACGTAGGTACCTCCATAAAAAATATATCACCTTGTAATACCAATTAATCAATAGCAAATTTATAAATGATCATGCTTTTTGTATGAATTCACTAACAAGTATCTCGAAAGATTTTGGCAGTAAATGATATTCTCAAATAATATGAATTCAGTAAGATTTGAAAGTATCACTTTGACCTTGATATTGACCTCAATCAGTTTCTTGCTCACAAGATGGATGTAACTTTTAAAACCAAATTTTTTTGTAAAATAATGATAATTACATAAAAATGTGATTTTACTGCTATTTGTGTAAAGTTTCACAAAGAGGTGACTTACAAAAAAAGTCTTTAACTTTTACTGCACCATTTAGTAAGACACACATTAGACATTCCAATCCTTGTGAGTCAATATGCATGTGTTATGCACATAGGAATATATTGTTTGATGGTAGGAGAAATCAAACTGCATGTTAAATAAATGCATGATCCCAAGGAAAAAGCTCCAAAATGTATGATAGCTGTACAAAATCTGACTAAGAGGTAGATTGGTTAGTTAGGCTGGTTATTGAAGGGTCACCAACTTAATTTTCACCTAAAACATTAAATTTCAATTGCATGTCAAGTCCTTAAAAAAGGCTCCTTTTCTGTTTTATTTAGCCCATGTGTTGAGGACACCTGCTTCATTGGGGGATGGGAGGGGTTGGGGATGGGATTGATCTGAAAAAAAAAAAACACCTCTTAGTTCATTACTTTAAAGTCGGATATGATATTAACATGATAAAAGGACTGATGTGTTCCTCATCTTGTCTCTATTTTAGGAAAACATATATTTAAATATACATGTCAATTAAGTTCAACTGATTCATTTTGGCCATCATTGAAGTCATTTTGATTTTTGAAAATATGGAATTAAAGCTGTATTAATGTTGGGGTTGATTTTTCTTAAAACAGGACTAAACGTTAAGGTGTGCAGTGAGTAATTCCTAATTGTTCACTGAGTGTATATTGTGTGCATGCATAACCTTTCACCTTCTGTATATAATGTATTATCTATAAATAAATGAGTGTATGTACCAGTATAACTATATAGATGTGTGATGGAATGGGATTTAAGCAGACTTGTGTCAAGATAACGCATGTTGAATAACAATATTCTTATCAAGAGAACATGCTCTTTTATAAATATATATTGGTTTGGCACAAAATATCTTTATGAAAGATCATTACACTTGGGTAGATTTTTATGTCTGTATGTTTGATACTGTTTACTATGTTGACCAGGGATTTGTCTTGTAAGATGTCTCATCTCTATATTTTAAAGTAATTTTGCTCTCTTTAAGATTCACCATCCCTCTGCTCATTCATATAAAATTTGTTTTAACAGTGATTTTGAAAAAGAAGTCTTAATTTATGATTAGAATGAACACACATTTGGCTTCCTTTACAGGACAAAAAAACTTGATAGTAATGACACTCTAACTTGATAATTTTGTACAGGAATAATATGTAGTCATTTATTCAAGTAAGAGTTACCCTTCTTATCAGAAGGTCGGTGAACCTTAAAACTGCAACAAAAAATCAACTTATTATACTAGAGTTGATTTTTTTTTTTTTTAAACATGTGTTTTTGAAACAGACTTGATCCTAACTTTAAGGGGGAAATATTCTGTCAAGAGAACATACATGTACAATGTAGCAATCCTTTAATTTTACAATGTTTCTAAATTTTCATTAATTTTTTTTTATTCATATGATATATATATCTTATATATGCATGGTCCTTGGTATGTTATTTATGTGAACGAGTTGCATGTCAATGTGTTTTAATTTGCTAGATTTCGTTTCAGCCCAGTAAATTGCCCATACTGATCAGGTGATTTTTACATTCAGTATACATTAAAATGTGTCATTAAAGCAAGGCAGTGGTGATCTGCAATTTTACTGTATTTTGTTGTAGATGAAAGCAAAAAAGGGTAAATCAAAGGGAAGAAACTGGTGTATATAGTACTTAGAAGTTGATTATTTATGTAAAATTCATCTTGAATTCTTATATTTAAAGTTAATAGGTAGCACTTCTGAGGGAGGCGTTTAAGTTTTATCTTTAGTTTGGTAAGGGTGATAAAGTATAAAGTATTAGTCTAAGACAGTTGGGTAATTGATTCGATTATATATACTAAATTATATGACATAATATATTATTACTGGTTACCAGGAGAAGATAACTTAGATGCAAAAAGCTTCATTAATGTATAGACATACTAACATCAAAATGACATTTTCTCTGAACAACGTTTTTTAAACTTCCTGTCCAAAATTGGGACTTTAAAACGTCGATGCTTATGATAACGGAGACCATATATGTAAGATTTATCATTACATTAAACAGAAACTTCAAGAAAACATGATGAAAAAGCAGCTAATGAAGAAACATCAATCTAAGTAGGAGGAGGATCCAAGCATGAAAGGGAGAGAGGAGTGGATCTAAGATTTCATTGGACATTATTTGTACAGCTGACAGTAGAATTGTAAATATAGTACTTACTTATTTCGTGTGCTAGGTGCTGAAAATATGCATTTACAGATATGTGTCGGATGTACAATCCATTGTTAAAAGGAAATTTTGTTAAAAACAGAGTTTGCTGTCATTACCTGGGTATAAAATATGATATTAAATTTGTCAAAATATTAATTTATATACCTATATTGATAATATCTAAATATGAAAATGTATTGAAATAAAATTTCTAATAAAAATATATTTGTCTATTGATGGACATCCTTTATACATGTAACTATATATATATTTATTACAACTTGATGCTAACTGGTATTTGATTATCTGTGCAGTTTTCAATTAAAATTACATGTAGTAAGAGTATTTGACTATATTAAACTTTCATAGTGTACTTTAGGAAATTGAAATTTGTAAATGTAGTATCAAACTGTAGGAAACTTCTGCATTTTTGTTTTAAAAAAAAACTCTGACAATACTGCACTTGTATCTCGATGCTCAAATAAACACCTGCACAAATCAGTGTACGAGTATATACCTCAAATGCAGGTTAGAAGGTGAAATAGGGGTTGTGTGACTGTGTTTTTACTGTAGTGAGATTGTTAATTACTGTCGGAGTTAAGTACACTGTACTTCACAAATAATTACGCAGCCAGGCTTTAATTGTTTGGTATTATGTACTTACGTAAATGTATGTAAATTTTCTGGTTATCTGTGATATGTAAAATTAATCTTTTTAATGGATATATAAAATTTTAAACATTCTTCTACTTTTTGTCCATTTTTACTCCGCATATGAAGGTATTACAGAGACAATTGGAATCCATATAATTTAATAATACAGTTTATTCTGTGTATTTTTTTTTTTTTTTTTGTTTGCTTTATTTTGGCCCAAATAGTCATTTCCAATGATGTAGAGTGAAACTTGTCTAATCTGATTGTTGTGTATTCTGAAATCTTTCTGAATACAGTGTAATGTTTCAGTCTTTTTCAGTATAAATTAAATTGTTTAAAATGTCTAATCAAGAATTTTGTCTAATCAGACCAATTTTTTAGTAACAGGTTGTGTCTGGATTAGACAGGTTTTACTGTACATTGAAATTGGTTTAATTTCAACACCTATACATAACAGAATAATTAAGAAAAACCTTCTTTTTTTGAAAACTGAGAAAAAGAAGTGAAATCAGGAAGATAATGCTCTTTTTTTTTGGGGGGGGGGGGGGGGGACTTTACATGATAAACCTTAATTCCCATTTTAGAGTCTATTATACAGATAAACTCTGATATTAAAGAGACACTGGGTACAACTTGTTCACTTGTACACAATGATAATGATGTTAATGTTTTGAATCACGATATTAAGGCAATCAGTGTTTAAACATATCAAGATATCACTGTAAGATTTAATTACCTTGCCAGATGTCCTGCTGGAGTCCCCTTTGTAAATATCTGATTCTCAGTTACTATTTCTTAGCAAAATTGTCAGTTATGCACTAGGTATATAGTAAACTTTTCTCATTTTCAACTTATTCAGTGTCTTTTTTTGGTCCAGTTGTTCATGGAAGATTCTTAAATACATATATTTTAGCTATTTTTTTTTTTTAGTTATTTTGCTTTAACATATCTACCCAATTTTGAATAAATTTGTATACTCTTCCAAGTTCCTGCAAGTTTAAAATGTCCATTGTTTCTAGAGAAGAAGTCGAAAATGTGCAAATTTAACCGCATGACAACTAACAAAACAAGAGGCCCATGGGCCATAATGCTCACTTAAGGACAGCAGAATTTTTTTTTAATTTCTTACTAATTTCATAAATATTTTGACTACATGTGGACAAAAATATAGAGCTAAAGGAGTTATGATTTTTTCAGTACAACCAACACAGTCTTGCTGTTTTGGAGAAATATTTTTCTTGTACACAAGCATTACGTAAAGTTTGGAGTCATTCAGGTGACCTATTGCGATCTGTTTTTGTCTGTTGTCTTGCATTGTTCATCATGTATGGGTTTTAAATTTCTAAACATTTCCAGTTATTTACCTGGAATTATTTACACTAAAAAAAAGGCATACGTTGAAGACAAAACAAGACTTCTTTCACTGAAAAACACTATACCCTGGTTTTATTTTAACAGTACCAATCCCCCACTCCCCATATCTGATATGACTGAATACTGTGGGTCTTACACACATGTATTTCAATTCGTGTGAATTTTCTTGCGATCTTTACTGTGTTTCTCATATATCATGTCTTTTCAGAATGAAACTTACATCTTTATACTTAGAATTTGTGTAGAATGCAGGCCCGTAGGAAGCAATTTCAGTTTGGGGGGGGGGGGGGCACAGCTATACATTTTCAGTTGAGGGGGCACTATCAACTACCAAAAATTCCTTGACATGCAAAAAAAAAAAGGTCAAACGATTTAATTGAGGGGGCACAAGCATATAGTAGCTATGTTTTCTATAGTAATTAAACTGTTTATCGGCAAAATTATTGGGGGGGGGGGCACCCCCCCCCCGGTTCCTACGGCCATGGAATGTACAAGGTACATGTATTGGAGAGTATAGTTTATCGATGCTAAGAGAGAGGTTTGAATAAAAGGTTACAAATGTATGCTCAGGACAAGTCGTGTTTTTTTTCAAATTCACGATATGCATGCATTTCCTTTGTAAGGCTAAAAAACATGTGAGCAAGCTCAAAAAGCCATGAATGGTGTTATACGAAAAATTAGACAATTTAATTTACCAGTAGATTGCCAGCTTGATTTGTTCGATAAAGTTGTCACACCAGTACTTTTGTATGGATGTGAGATATGGGGTTTTGAGAACTTTGAAGTAATTGAACGCGTTCATCTTAAATTTTTGAAATATATTTTTAATCTGTTATAGCTATATGGTTTATGGCGAAACGGGTCGCTTCCCTTTGTATATAACGGTGTATATAAGAATGATATCACATTGGGCAAAATTATTGGTAAGCCCTGAAAATAAGATTGTTTATGTTACATATAAGCATTTATTTGAACAGTTTTGTTCAGGAAGTCATAAGAACCCTTGGATTTTATGTATTAAGAATATACTTGATACTTGTGGCTTCTCAAATACATGGAATGAACAGGCCTTTTTAAATATAAAATGGCTAAAATCTATAGTTGAACAACGTCTTAAAGATCAGTACATACAGAAATGGCAAAGTGATATGCGCGATTCGTCTAAAGGTCATATGTATAGTATCTTTAAAACAGAATTTGGATTTGAAAAATATTTAGACTTACTACCTAAAAAATTTAGAACAATTTTAATTAAATTAAGAACAGGAAATCATCGTCTCCCAGTTGAGACTGGGAGATGGTTTGGTATTCCCAAAAATGATTAAATGATTATTGACTTTGTAATATCTGTAATAATGGACAAATAGCAGATGAGTACTAGTATCACTATATTTTAGAATGTCAATTTTTTTCAGAATGCAGAAAAAAGTATCTACCTAGTAAATATTGTAGTAGACCAAATTTCTACAAATTCTCAGAATTGTTGTCAACTGCTGACTCCAAGGTATTTTAAAATCAAACTATGCAGCTACATAGATAGGGTATATGAACAAGTCTGTCCTCCATAATTATTATTATTATTATTATTATTTTTTTGTTACTTTATAATTTGAATGCATTTCCGCCATTTCACGTGTATCTTGTATATTGTTTTTGTATATATTGTACATAGAACCTCATGTACCATTAATTGGTTTGAGTGAATAAATTGAACTTGAACTTGAGACGTCTAAAGCTTGGAAATATTAAAAAAAAAAAAAAAAAAAAAAAAAAAAAAACAGCTGATTTGAGATATGTAAATTATGTGAATTGGAGATATCGTATACGGGTGGGACTACAAATACATGCATGTTAAATCACCCAAGATTAAAAGATAATTCGGAAACCAGCTATTTACTGGACACTCCACAAAAGCAACCTGCAATTACGGGGTTTTTCTTCTTTGAAGTTATTGTGTATGTGTTTGAGTTTGTAATTGTAAAATAACATTCATATACAGTACATTTGTGTTTTATTTCTACCGAAAGGAAAAGGGTGAGATGAATAATAGATGCATAATGGAAACTGTAACGAAAAATCATCCGAGTAACCGGATACTCGATCGGAAAAGTAAGCGAGTAACCTGTTACTAATAATCGTCCGATTTGACAACACTAGATGAAAACCATCTTCAATTTAAAGTGACAGTACGGCGCATCTCATCAAAAAACTGACTAGATAAAATTTTCCGACAAGATTTGGAATTTTTTTACTACCCATAAATGTATAAACTTTCAGAAAATTACAACTTTTACAATTAAATAATTTGGATTATTTCATTAAAATTAATAGTTATTTATGGGACGTAAATATATACATCGCAACGTGTTCGGGGTTCCACATTCCATGCTATGCACGCATGCGTAGTTTTCATAAACAAAACAGCATGGTTAGAGAGGGAATCCCGGTAGGCCTGCTACATTGACAAAGTCGACCAAAAAGAAAAAGAAACTGAAAATAGAACTTGAAAAAGCAACTTTCATGACTAAAATTTAGTTTGGGGATTAATAAAATCGCTGGATAAGGAAGAAACGGGAACTCGGCGACACTCACGCAGGGCTCTCGAAGGTTCTATTCGACAGGTTTGTTGATACTTGTTATCATTTCTCATTTTCCCGTCGCTTTCAAAGAAAAATAATAGTGTAAACTCAACATTAAAAATACATCTTTGACTTATAAACATTGTTGCCATTTGAAATGCTATTTTTTTTTAACTGTGCAGAAAAATATTTTGTTTGACATTTGCCGCGATAACGTATGATTAGTTGGTTTTCCCTTTCTCGGACCCCAATACACAAAACGTAAACATTTGTACTTTTAATTCTGTTAAATTCGCCTGAATGCAGACTAAAATCTTTACGATTATTATTTTAGATTATTTTATCAGAAAGTTATGATAATTTGTGTTTTTGAAAATTGCTTTCACCTAATATTCATTATAACTGTAAACTCTACAGTGTAGGCACGTGCCGTTTTAGAATTCACGTGATACAAATAAACAGATCTAAGATTGCTCCAGTTCGTACGACCCTTGATTTTCCGGCAGATTCTAATTACGTTAATTTTGTTTGAGTAGAGAATATTTCTGTTTCTCAAACTGCTTACATCAACTTTATACCTTATTTCTTAATGACATATTGGGTAAATTTGGATGAAATAGCACACATTTTGCAGCCGTACTGTCGCTTTAAGCAGGATCTATACCGGCCAAAGT